ATTTATATACTCATCCATCTATCTCTCTCTCTCTCCATTTATCTCTATCTCTATCTCTATTTCTATCCGTAATTCTCTATCTTTATCCATCTATCTCTATCTCTATCTTTGTCTATCTATCTCTATCTCTATCTCCATCTCTATCTCTGTAAATCTCTGACCTCCAAGGCGGTTTTAACGTAGTTACGTAGTTTTCCCTCTGAGTGTCACACGCTTGAGTGCAGAGGAGTTTGCCTTGCTGGCGCGTAAATTTCATAAATTTCTGACTGTGACCATGACCGTTGGCTGCTCGGGGTCCAGGCAAGTTGGTCCAATTGCTGCGCGCGTCGTTCCTGGCACCACTGGCACCACTGGCACCCGATGGGAACCCGATGGGAACCCGATGGGATGAGACCCAGGAACGACCGGGACAGGTCCGGCGGGCCTGCAGTTCAACAGCTTCTGCAGAACCTCGGATCACGAGGTTCACCCAGCGTCGCTGAGAAAAGCAATCGCCATAGATCTTGGAAAAGCTCAGAAAAAATGACGATCGCCTGAGAGGATGCTTAGATTTGATTAGATTTGACTCAACTTATTCATGAATATATAAATAATTATATATATATATTATATATATAAATCAGATGCGGTGTAGAATGATGATAAATGATGATAAATGATGCACAGTCGGGAGTGTGCGCAGAGGCACCCAAAGACCATGCACTGCCTACCATGGTCTGGTGAGAATCCTGCACAAAGGCGTAAGGTTCCTGCGATGGATACTCTTGCTGACAGTGTCCACTCTTCGCTGCACCTGGGACTTTCAGAATCACTGAGATCCCTCACTCGGTAAATATCTAATTTCTGTATTGACGCACGGAAAACCACATTCATGGTCACTAATTCCAATGTCATCCAATGTCCAAATCTCTCGAAATTTTGCCTTGGCAGTCAGGATCCTGAGATATGCTAAGCTGCTCCTTCTACTCGCTCCTCAACTTCCTCCAACTGACGAATCAACTCACGAAGAGAGGTCCGATGCCTCAGGTGGAGCAGGCGGCTGGGATCTGTACTTCTTTTTTCTCCTTGGTATGTGCTGAATTATCTCCTTAGTATATGCTAAGCTGAAATAATTGTGCCCAGATATGCCACGTATATCGGAAGTTCGCATGAATATGGCCTGTCGGATCCTGTCGGCCTGTCCATGATCCAAGTCCCTTTCTTGGCACACGCCTTGAAAGTTGTTGTGTTCAGATTGAGGCGGCACATTTGAGGGAGAAGCTGCCGCAAGCGTTGTTCTTGACGCCGACCCTGCCTGAGAAGATAGCTGAGTCATGGGTGTATTACCAGACCATGAGCATTGAGCGGCCCAAGTAAAAGCACTGGCTCCAACTCCGAGCGGAAAACTTAAGAGAGGGCGCCACCGGAAGAGAATCATTATGAACAGAAAGTATCAGAAAGCATCAATTTTTCAATTATATAATTGTCATTCAACAAATTCAACAAATCATTCAAAATTACTTGAACCATCTTGAACCAATACTGGGCTGCACTGACTTGAGATCTTGAAAAAGCTTGGACCCCAACACCGTGGCTCCGTCCAGCTGTCGCTTCATGTCTGCTAGCTCTGCCTGCTGCTCCAAAGCATTCACCTCAAGCTTTCAGCATCTTTCAGCGGGTTCGGGATGGCTTGTCGGGGAAAAGCACCGGGGAATCTCTTCACATCATGACTCAGTTCTCATGGATCATCATGGATCTGAGGCATATCCATGTGAAGATCCTGCTCAATTCTGCGGCATGATCTCATGATCTGAAGGAAAGCAGACGAACTGTTCCGGTTTTTTCTGGCTGACAAAGCTTTGCCAGCGCGACCAGGAATAGGCTTACACTCAGCAATTGAACCTCTCTACAGTGCACAGGCTTGACCTTTTTTGGCCGAATGGGCCGTTGGGTGATTCGGAGCGATCCACATTCACATCCTCCCTGCACCAGGACACACTTTCTGTAGAACCTTTCCCTGCCAGTGGCTGCTTCTGCCTGCATGTGTTCTCACGTCTTCACGAGGGGCCAGGCAAAGAGCTTTGGCACAAAGGACCGGCCAACACTTGAGGAGCACATGACTCCTTCAACTCTGTCCATCCATGAGCGGCTCATCATGAGCGGAGGTCTCTATAGCTTCTACAGTGACAAACAGAGCTCTGCTCAATGCCTTCCTAAATGCCAAGGCATACCAGGCATTCTGCGAAAAGATCTGCCAGAGAACGATGGCCTCAGCCAGAAGACGAAGAAGATGCAATTTTTCGCTGTGCTCTGCAAAGCAATGACGGCTTCCACTATGACTGCGTTGACTTTGAACATTGTCGTGCTATCCTACTCGGCCAAGCCTGCAGTCTGGCGGCCCATAATTTTACGATGCTCCTGCTCCTGAGCGATCTCGGCCAAGCTCCTTGCGATGGAAAAGTGCTCGCAAGCTCCCTTCCTAGAGTACGCAAACTTGAGATAGGCCTCTTTGAGCCAAAGGCGCATGTGGAACAGGGCATGGCAAAGCCAGGTGGCGATGAAACGGATGTGTCGTGGGAACCACTCCAGCTGAGCCTGCCCTGCTACAGCAGCATCTGCATACAGCAAGAATCGCTCAGTTGGCTTCCCACCGAGATCCCTATGGAGTGCTGCAACTAAGTGCATGGTGCGCATCACCATCAACATGTCAGCTGGTAAACGTTCTGCAAGCATGCCAAGGCCAGACATTGCGAAAGACGCCGCGCTGGATTCTTTGGGCAGCAAGCCTGACTCCATCAGCTGCTTTTTCAGCTTGCCTTTCTCGTCCAAAGTGATGGGCTGCCCCAAGCCTGCTTTTGTACTCCTAGAACGATTCGTGAAGTAGATGGGGAGCAGTTCGGCAGTGCTTGGATCGATCCCCAGGATAGCTGCGCTTGACAGCAATAGCACATCATCTTGCAAGACCATGCCTTGCCACAAGGAACACATTGCCAGGCGACGTTTTTTCGAAAGATTACAGTAGAGTCCATGGTCAAGAATTTCCAGTCGTGTTTCTGCTGCCGTTTTGCCTATTTCTACCAACAAATTGCCAGGATGAGGGTCGCAATGCACAAAGCCAGAGGAAAAGCACATGGCCCCAAAAGCTGCTGCCAAGGTATGAGCTGCAGATCTAGCTGTCATCAAGGCTTCCTTTTCGCTGTCACTAAGAACAGCATCTGCCTGGGGCTTGGAACCTACCTTGCGCACTGCTTCGGTCAGCCTGCCGATTGGCAGGCCACGTGAGAAATCCATCACCAGCAGCTTTGGACCAGTCAGCTCAGCATGCACACGAGGGACATGGACATTGGCACGCAATGTCTGGTGAAGTTGGAAAAACTCTCGGCAACGAGTGGCATGTTCGGCTTCTTCTAGGAAATTGAGCTCGTGTGCTACGTTCCTCTCAAATTCTTCAATGGCCCAGGCCATGGAAAAGCCTTCCTCTTTGAACAATCTGCTCAGAATCCCATTTAAGCACCTGACAATGAACAGGTCACTGGATACAACCGCTTCAATCCCACGATGTTGAACCTTAACAGCTACTTCTGCTCCGTCAGATAGCCTGGCACGATGCACTTGGGCCAAGGAGGCGCTACCAACTGGTTCTCGGTCAAACTCCGCAAAAATGCCCTGGGGACCTGCGACCTCATCAAGTTCTGAGAGCTTCAGCTGAGTTTTCACTACATGCATCACATCAAACCAAGATCCTGCAGGGGCTTGGTCCTGCAACGACACCAACGCCTGCACGTATTCGGTTGGCACGGCTGGCCCCAGAGTTGCAGCATGTTGGCCCATCTTCACAAACATCCCACCGTTGCAGCTGCACATTCGCAGCGCCATCTCGGCACACTCACGGTGAACCTTTGACCTCTGCACTTCGTAGAGTTTGGCATCTCCAGGCCACGTCCATGCCAAGCGTTTGTACCTTGCAGCGATGCGTGCCGCGCAAACGGCGGCGCGCACGGCCCGGCGGCTGCTGAGAAGGCAATCCCGGGATCTCCGGCGCTGTTCGGCGGTGGAAATCGCAGCAAGACCAACTGCCGAGAAGCAGAGACACGACTGCTTCAGCCGACGCATGGCACAAAAGGCGTCAGTCTCATGTCATGCCCAATCCCTCTCGACAAATATGTTCATAATATATAATAATTATATGTTTACCCCCCAGTCTCTGATACTTGCATATCTGAAAAAGGTACAGTAAATGGCAAGAAAACTGCATGATGTCAAGTCTTGGTGTACTTGGGGAACTCTTCATGCGGACGTGCTACCGCAAAAATGATCAAACAAAATGTGACAGAATCAAAAGAATCACAAAGAATCCAGCAGCGTGCGCAAGTTCACTTTAATCAATCATGATCCTTCAACTTAGCCTTCAACCTCAGAGAAAATCCATGAAAATCCCACTTGCCTATTGGCAAACCGGTCTGAATAGCATCAGCATCCTCTGGTTCACTGCAGCAAACCCCGCAATTTCCAGGCCCCTGAGGAAGGCACTCGGAAGCTCAGACTGGAATCGCCCAAGGCTCCCTGGGCTGGATGCAGCTGCATGACATGCAGCATGGCTTGCAGGGCCCTCACTGACTGAAATTCGCTGAGCTCAGTACCAGCTCCGCCATGGTGAATAAAGGCTAAAACAATGGCTGCAGAATGTGGTCCAAACAAAATCATGTCATTCATGTTATGCTGTACTCCTCTACCACCGAAAGTGAGCATGCCTATCTCTCTCTCTCTATGTATATATAATTATATATATATATATGTGTGTGTGTGTGGGTGTGTGTGATTGTGTGTGTGTGTGGTCTCTTTTGGTGCATAAAATTGCGTAAATTGACCACACTGATCTCTCTCTCTCTCTCTCATTACCGGTATTGACATCAGGATCATACTAGGTCCATCAAAAAATATTCGTGAGGTCCATGTCATGCGGGTAGTGAGTCCAAAATGTTGCAGTCACTATCTTGTCCTTCCCTTGCTTCAGTTTTAGGGCACACACTCATCACTCATCTCTGAACCCTAACGTGGCTATGCTATTCTTCAGCCTCACAAGCTAAAGCCAACGTCTTTCGGTGGAATGAGAGCTAAAAAAATCGTTTCTAAGGCCAGCATCATCCCGAGAATCCCTCACAATCATGTATCAGCTCTAGGTTCACGAAACTCGGGCTTTATTGCCTCTTCTCGGCGATCAAGCACACCAGTTGACTCTGGATTCTGACCAGCCCAAGAAATTTGGAAAATGTCAACGTCACGACGTCTGCCCTTTCCTGTCACTGACCCTGGCTCCTCTTGTCTCATTGGTCACTCATCAGCTTTGTTGGCAAAGCCGCCGGAGCTGCCAAGCTGTATCGAGCTGGTGCCTGCATCACGAAGTCCCTTGCAACAGTTGCACTGTGAAGTGGAGCTGGAAGCCATTTGAATCATTTGAGGTTCTGAAACCGGGAGGTTCAGCGGTTCAGCCCAGGGGCCCAGCTCAAAGAGTCGACTGCAAAAAACGTATCTTGGGAAGCCGATCGCGCCGCAGCGCCCAGCTGTCATGGATTCTTGCACTGTCAATTCACCACTTCGAATGTGTCAAACTCCAGGACTTCAGGGCCCGTGCTCCAAGCGACGGAATGATTCATCAGAAAACACATGCAAGTGCCTTGCTGCATGAGGTTCTGCTCAGGCTGCTTGTCAAAGATGCTCGCATGTGCACCCACAAACTTCAGCATAGGAGCCCTCTGAATGAGCTCTGAAACCCAGGCAGTGTCATTCTTATAAAGCCACCGTGCCACGTGAAAGCAGGCAACATTTGTCTCATTCCAATTTTGCTCAACACCCCCTAGCTCACGAATCCAACCAATAGCAGCATCTCCTGAATGTAAAGCGGTAGCTGTTTGCCAACGCTGCCGAGCAAAGGGATCAGAATCAATCAGCCATTTGAAGCAGCAATGCATCGTAAGGTAATTGGTCTGATCTTCCCTCATAGCCTGGAGGTCGATATCTTTAAACATGCCGCTGGCAAGCAAGCCACCATCCTGAGTTGCATCCGTGCGACCCTTCCAGAACTGCAGGAAAGCAGCGTGCCATCGTTGCATTAGTTCGCTACATTTTGGACTTGCCAAAAACCAATTCTCCACAAACTCACCTCTGTTGGTGTGGTCTGAACGTCCGAACTTGGGATAGTAAAAGGCCTCTAGGTCTATGTCAGTTGCTGAACTGCTCAAGTTCAGCCAATCATCCAGCGGCTTTGTGCACACCACGCTGATGTCCACGTATACACCCCCATGTCGGGCTAAGAGTGCGAGGCGAACTGCATCAGACAGCACGTCCCAACGGAGGTACTGCCACTTCTCTGGCAGATCACTGGTGGCAATGAAGGAAAAACATGAGGAAACGCTCAGCAAAACTACGCGCCAGGCGGGGTTATTGCAGACCCAGGATTGAATGCAGGCTCGCCTGAAGAAGCCCAAGCCTTTGCCATCGCCCTGCGCCCAAAACATCCAGATGATGCGCGGAAACGCGGACTGAGATAGCGGTGCGTGCCGTCCTCACACCGCGAGAAATATTGGTTTTGGGCTCTGCGAAATGGCCATAAATGGCCTCCTTCCCCCATGTTTGCCAGAAGGGGATCAGAATGGATCAGAGGGTTTTTTCCAATGGTTACAACTTCACCATCTTTCTATATCTTTCTGACATCTCTGACCTATGGATCCTACGGGATCCTACGGGATCCTACGGGATCCTACGGAGCTTGACCCATCCCCTCCTGGCAGCGGCCACTCCGTCAGCGGAAACAACGGGCAACGACGAACTGTTCTGCGGACCAGCTGCGGCGGACGCCAAAAGCCCGCCGTAACCACAAAAGCCTCCAGTGATTGGCCTTGCACTGGGGGGTCACTTGTTGCTGGCTTGCACATCATGCAGATGGATGGAGATAGTGGGATACAACTAGATTAGATTAGATTTCCATTGGATTGTGATGTAATTTTGATTTGAACTTAGATTTGAAGCTTCATTTCGATGGATAGATAGATGATGATAGATATATAAATTTATATAGATCTATAGATAATTGGATACTTCACTCGCATGCACGCACAACGGTCCAAGCAAATCAGACAAGTAATTTCAGTCCTTACCAGTCTGAGCCTGGTGGGCGCAACCCAAGTGGGTGATAGATGGCAATGATAATCAATATATAATGAAATATCATATCCCAGTTGTAGATAGCTTATATATAGTATATAGGTTATAAACATTTATAAACCACTTTATACATTATATGAATCATATATACATATATACATATATATATATACTTCTACATTATGTAGGTTGTAAACCACACTACCCTCTGGTAAACATACAAAAAACTATGGAAAATCACCATGTTTTATTGGGTAAATCACCTATTTCTATTATTTAACTATGGCCAGCCCAGCCACGCGACCAGGAGATGCTCTCGGGCGGCAGGCAGCGCCCGGTGGCCACGAAGTCAGGATGCACAGCCGTGAGGTCCCACATCACCTGCGCCATGGCAGTGTCAAGCATGGGGAAGCCCTGGAACTACCCTCCGGTAAACTAACAGTTCGCCATGGAAAACGATGGCCCATAGAAATAGATGGCTCGGTTTACCGGTTTACCGTTCTTAAAAATGGTGATTTAAACCATGGCGAACTGTTAAATAACCAGAGGGTAATTGGATGGTAAGTGGATGGTTTATGATGGTTTATGATGCTGGGAAAATCAAACCCAATGAGATCTGTGAAACGATTCTTCTGTCACCAACATGAAGGGAAACAATGGAAACAAAAAAATCCTCGTGCATCAGAAATAAAATCTCTGCAAGCACTGAGAAGGGCACGTTCAACAGTCTCTGCTGTGAAGCCTCCTTAGCTGGTCATTCTGTTGCCGTTGCAGCCCTTTTTCACCACCGCATCGATTGCAGTATCCACAGCCAAGGGTCGGAATCGTCTTCGAGCTCGAGCTCAAACCCTTTGGGTAGAGGAAACAGGCCCCGCAGACAACGCTGAAATCTTTCAGGTGCCACGGCGGCCACGGCGGTGGCTGCTTCTTGCGCAAGCCTGGTCAAAACGCAGCACACATGACTGATAAATGATGATAAATGATGATAAATGATGATAAATGATGATAAATGATGATAAATTATGCAAATGCGTAGCAAGGTACCAAAGCCTCGCGCAATCTAGCGCACTTTCGTTGAATTTCATTGTGAGCATTGGGTTGCAATGACTTGGAGCCAATCCCAAAAACTTTGCAGTTGAGATCTGATCAGCTGCCGAGAAACTGCTCTGGTGTCGCATCACACCTAGGGCTGTGTCCAAGAGAAGTCAGCAGCTTTGCCAATGCCCAAGTCGCATCTTCTTTCCTCAGGCTCTGCATCTGGATCGCCAGTAATTTTTCCTCAGTCGGCGCAATCCTGTCAATATCCGTCGATATTCGGTGCACTTCCAGCAGGTGATCTGAACGCAATGTATGCTATGTGACTGGACTCCATCATGTCAAGTAGCGCTACAGCCCAGGGCATACCACCAGCCAGGCGGTATGACCAACATCTGGCCAGCCTCAGTCTGCCCCCGCTAAAAGATACTTGCAACTGGGGCTATCAGTCCAGTTGTACATCCATATCATGTACCCAACACACATCCAAATGTATTTAGTACACATCCATACCGAAGATATATCCATATATCCTGCCTATATCTTTATTTGTCTATTTATATGTGTGCATCTATATGTTCATATATATATATACGTATATACATGTGTGTGTGTATGTATTTATGTATGTATGCATGCATGTATTTTGTGTGTATATACATATACATATATATATATATATTATCATTGTTATTATTGTTGTTATTCTTACTATTACTATTTTACTATTATTATCTATTATTAGCATGTCATATTATATTATATATATACACCATTATATATATATATATTACATATTCTATTCCACATATATCTTCCATCTGCCCGTCTAAACTAAGACCCCACGCCGGAATGGTCAGCCAATCCTTGGATGTCGGAGCCACCGGAGCCACCGCCGCATCGCCCAAGCCCGAGGGCAGCGCGTGGATGGGCGCGGCAGCGCTCAGCTGAACGGTGGCACTACCCAGAAGCACCAAGATTTGGGTGCCTCATGGAGGAAATGCTCATGGACTCATGGAAGTTAAGAAATAATGTGGGTAAAACCATGGTAAAACAATGCCATGTTTACCTCCCATGACTGGGAATGGTTTAATTATAGCACCTATATAATACAGTAAAATGGTGATGACTGGGGGATGGTTCATTATTGTTTCACCCACATGAATGGAAATTCATCATGGAAGATCTACCGCCACCATCGCCATCCCAAGGGTCCAGCGGAGCTGAAGGCGAGCAGGTGGCCCAGCCAAACCGGGAGCAAATTCTATGAATTAAATATTTGTTAGACTGCTAATGGAAAATATAGTTCATCATCTGGTCATTGGAATTTCAGAATCCTTAGATGAGCTGGTGGCCAACCAAATTACTGAAATGGATTATTAGAACCACTTATATAACTTAACTCGCCCAGCATTCATATTTACATATTTGTATATAGTACTGCTTAATGTGGAGAGTGAAAATTGCCGTTCTGAATCAGGAGGCTCCAGCAAATTGGGTCGCGTCGCCAACAGCTCAAAGCCCCAGCAGTCGCAAACCACAAGGCGCAACTGGATGGAGGTCCAAGCTCAACAAAGCACTTCAACATGTCTCGATCACCTGAGGAGAGCGCGATGGAAGCCTGCCACTTTTTGTCAACAGGACTGTGAAGACGTATTATATGTGTATATACACACATATATACCCTCTGGTAATTTAACATAGCTATTGAAAATTGCCATTTATAGTGGATTTACCCATTAAAAATGGTGATTTTCCATAGTTATGTTAGTTTACCAGAGGGTACTACAATATAAAGCCACCATTTTTTCAAATACCTCCCAATCAGTTCACCCTGTTTTCGTTTTTTGGAATGTGTTGGATCTATTTTAATGAGTTGGGCATCCATATGGCTGCTATTTAACATAAATAAATAAAATAAATATAAATATATATTATATATATATATATATGTGTGTGTGTATATTATATATATATATACGACCAAACAATTTCATACATGCCGATGACTCAGCTCACACATTGTGTCGGGCCGCAACCAGGCAGTTCTGAAAGGCCGAAGTCATCCATCGTGGCTACCAATGTCTCATCGCAAAGCCACATTGGTGAGGCCGATCTGGCTGTGGACGATGGAAAACAGGTACTACATGGTACTACAATATACCGAATATACATGATACCCACAAACTCCTGGTGTACCAGGGTACCAGAACCCATGAATCAACTTAATCAACTTAATCAACTCAACTAATGGATTTTGATGGATTTGGGGTCCCACAATGTCCCACACCTGAGAGCATCCAGATCCCTCAAGGCTTCTTTGAACTTCTTCCGCCGGAGGGTGGACTGCGTTCCGCAGCGTTGCTCTTCATAGATGACTTCCACGTCGGCTGCGCGCTGCGCCAAACAGCTCAAGAAAAATGCTGCACCGCCTGCACCGCATAGATGGTGCGAGACTGGAAGAACTTGTGGACCTTCATGGAACCTGGAAGACAAAGAAATGTGAGGAATGCTGGTGGTTTCTACCCAGAAAAAAATGTTCGACAGGATCGCCATCCCATTTTCTATGGTGAAAATACATAGCTGAAACCACAACCATAACCAATCAGATTATGCAATCTCATCAAACCTGGTTTTGTTCTACAGAAACGCTGTTTCTCTTGGTACCAGAGTCCTGCCACTTTTTGTTGTTTTCAATGGATGGGTTTGGGTTTGTGTAAGGGAAAATCTACCGGAAACAATTGTTTTTACCACCATTTTTAGGGTTTCCTGGACATTTTCCATCATTTACCCCTCATCCAATTTTAAGATGGTTCCATATGTTTCCCTCATTTTCCCAGCACTCTCTCTCTCTCTCTCTCTCTGTGTCTCTCTGCCTTGCAACTGCTAGTAAATGAACCCCTTGTGGGCCCCAAAAATGAATACATGCAAAAAAAAAGCTAGACTGGGATTTAGGTTTTTGGGATATCTATTGTTTTTGGAACATCTTGGATCATGGATCTGGATCCAAGATTTCTGCCCTGGATCCAAGAAGAGCTTTTTGAAAATCTTGGATCCTTGCACTTTGAGACTTGATATTTTCACGTCTGAACTCTTTTCAGGCTTGAGATTCTCAAGTCAAAGAAACTGAGGTAAAACCAAAAAACAAAGCATGAACTTCAGACCAAAACATTCTCTGAAAAGTTTTGGTTTTTGTTGTTTGTGGTTTTATTCCAGGTTTTGTTGCAAAGCATATCCACATCCTTTATATAAGAGTAGCAGCAGTAGGTTCAGCAAGATATTGCATAATTCTAAATTTGGCTGGACACTATCCAGGTGTCCATTTTTTGATAGTTTGCGCACCCTTAAAACATCTTAAAACCAGGGGAAGAAATACAAGACAGCCAAGACTAGAAAATATAATAAGTAAACAAGTTTCAGCATGGACTTTGAAGCTTGTTGTCAAAGAAAAATTCTCCAATATAGGCCTTGTGCAGCAAAATGTTCAAAGAATATGACATTCCTAGCATAAAGGCGCATCATTCCTTGCATAAAGTAACATCATTTTGTACAGTCTCATCATGTGATAGAGTGCAACATTTATTTGAAAGAACTACGGAGATATGTTCAAAGAGACTTACAGCTGTGCGAAATTATGAAGGAGTGCAGCATTTCATTGAAAGGAATATAGTCATTTTCAAAGAAACTTACACCTGTGCAAAGTTCTGTTAAAGAGGCAAAGAAAAATATGGAAGCAGGACCGCATTACAACAAAATGGAATCCTTTAAGTAACCATTTTAACCGATTATGGTGTTCCTTAAAGAAAGTGTTGGTGCAAGTATGTGCAAAGCCTCCTTCACAAGGGAGTGAACGATTTGATTGAAAATTATCCAATAATACAAAGAAACATTACTATGAAGTAGAACCCTTGGGTGTATGTAGTATCGTTTGAAAGATACAGTTCATGCAGTTCATGGGTGTCTGTATGCCATATATGCAATATGCCCGTCCATATTATATGAGTGAAGCACCTGAACAAAATAGGCAGCATATCTGGCAGAGAGGCACCGCATTCTGGGATGAGGCACCGTCTCTAGTTGTTCGAAAGAGCCAGGTGTTGCACCTTTTCGGAAGTTTCAAGTTTCCCTCATCGGACTCCCAAAATGACCAGAAGACAACTGTCGTTCAGAAAAAATGAGAGTGAGGCTGAACTTCATCAAAGGATGTATTACATTGCATCTTTCCACAATTGTTTTTTTTCTGCAAGGATGCTGCTTCTTAGTTGAGGGAATACCTTGTCTTCAGGGCAATTATTTTGCAGAAGTTAGGTCTTTCCTTAAAAGATTGTCATACAAGAAAAATGAGAGGAAGGCTGAGCTCCATTAAAGGATGTATTTCATCTTTCCACATTCATAATTTTCTTGCAGGAGCACCCGCCACCCCAGGGACCATCCTGTCTTCAAGGCAGGTTGTATAAGCAGCATGTTCATTTAACAACAATCTTTCTTTTTCAAGGAATGCTGCAATGAGCATCAACCATTGCACTTTTTCACGGCAATGCTCAATGTTAATCACACAATTGCATATGGTGTAGGAATCTGGCGTTTTGAAAGAATTCTGTGTGATTGAACGAAGGCTGAATAATTTGCTGAAAGGAAAAATGCGCTTCTTCAGAAAGGAACACTGCATGTTTAGAGGAATGCTCTATATTTTGTAGGGATACTGTTTCTTTAAAGGTCTTACAAATTTTACATGATCAAGGTCATTGCATAAATTGAAGTAATTATGCAGTGAAATTCATCATGCATGTCTCTGGAAGAGCATCAAAAGTATATCTTAGGGGGGGGGCTAGCGAATATACATACATACATATATAATTAATTACTTCACAAACCAAAACCTTTTAAAATAAAGGGTGCACCAAAAACCCGATGTTTTCGAGGAAAACCAGAGGTTTTGCTGTTTTGCCTTCAGCCCATTTACCAAAGTTTGGTGCAACGATTTCATTTTCATTCCCAGTTCACGATGTTCCCTCACGGACCATGCAAAACTTGGCTCCCATACAGGCCGATCAAACCCACTAAAAAATAATGGGTTGATACAGGTAAAATATGGGTTTAGTAACTAGTACGGGTTCAGTACGGGTTTGGGAAACCCGAGGTTTCGGCACAAACCCGAGATTCCTGTGCCAAAAATATGGGCTAGTACGGATAAAGTATGGTTTCAGTACGGGTTCAGTACGGGTTTGAGTTGGAGCCTTTTTTTTCCGCACAAGAATCCTTCTTCCACTCAATTTTCTTCTGCAACAGGCCGGATTATAGTTGTTCCCATCATCTTAATGTTCACAAGTTGCTTTAAATTGCAGGATTTGAGCCAAAACCCGATGTTTTCACAAGAAACCGTAGGTTTTGCTGAGACTTCGGCGAAGCCCGAGGTTTGTCTGCAAACCCTTTACAGTAAGTTTACTAGCAGCTAAGGGTATATGTGTGTATATATATATATATGTGTGTACTTATAATATAATACAATATAATATAATATAATATAGTATAATATAATGTAATATAATATAATCTAATATATTATAATATAATATAATAGAATAGAACATAATATTATAAAATATTATGTCCTATAATAAAATTGAAAAAAATGCAATATAATACCATATAAATATAAATATAAATATAAAATAAACTAATATAATATAATATAATAGAATATAATATTATGTAATATAATATAATATAAAAAAATGAAAAACATACAATATAATACAATATAAATGTAATATAATAGTACAATGTATAATATTCCATAATATAGTAAAATCTAAAAAAAAAAAAAACAATATAATACAATATAAATATAATTATAAAATATAATATGATAAAATATATTTTAATAAAATATTATATATGTATAAATAATATAATATAAAATAATATAATATAATATAATTATAATATAACATAATATAATATAATATAATATAACGTAATATAATATAATATAATATGTGTATATATATATATATTATGTATATATAATATAATATAATATAATATAATATAATATACTATAATATAATATAATATAATATACTATAACATAATATAATATAATATAATATAATATCATATCATATAATACAGTATAATATAAAATAATATAATATAATATAATATAATATAATATATACATACATATATATATATTATATAATATATGCAATGTATATATATATATATTATATTATATTACTTTATTTTATTTTATACTGTATGATATTATATTATATTATATATATTATTATTATTATTATTTTTATTATTATTATATATTATATTATATTATATATATTATTATATATATTATATATATATATGTGTGTGTGTGCGCATAATATTGCATCATATTGCATCATAAACATATATATATAATTATATATATTACAGTATATCCCCCATCAACCATCATCAACCAATGTTCTCTGAGCTGCATCGCCAACTTCGCTGCGTCATGGCCGTAGAAGCCCGGTCCGTTTTGTGAAAACTGGGCCCAGGCACAGCCTGCACCTGGGTGGGAAATCCCCGAAAATCGAATGGATTGTCATTCTAACATTAAAGAGTGGAAAAAAACGATTTGGGCATTGGGGATATCCATGGATATCCCACATTTCAATCCATTTTCAAACAAATCTGAAGACCTCCATGCGACCTAGATCACTCCAATTTTGTCAGGTGCGATCTTCGGCAAATCCCTTCCTTAACAAAGAAGCCAACGAAGGATCCACCAGGCTTTGAAAGCACGCAAAGTTAAAGTCAAGAAACTTCCAAGACTAGTTCTTTCTTGCCACCGCCATTGCTTATTGAATGATGACACAAGCGGACCTGGTACTTGAACCAATCATGACCAATCAGGATACCGCAATCGACCTCGAGCCTAGCCCGCACCAAGTGCATCATGATTGCAACAGCCAATCGTGAACAATTCAAAACATGTCAAAACCATAAACTCCTCGCAATTCTGCCCGTAAATTTGGTGGCGCAAGGAGACAAGTATTGTTTTCACTGTCACTTTGTAATTCAGAGTCTCTTCGGACAAAGCCCGTGTTTGCAGAAGTCCCTTCGAATCACGTCTGCAATGAGAGGTTTTCCAGGGATTTCAATGGGCCATGGGATTTTGGGATGCCGTTTTCGCACAGAAACCAGGCCGTTTTCGCCGGGTCGTTCTGAACGGGGACACTGCGAAACACTGGGGAAGCGGCTAGTCTGGCCTCATTAAACTCTTCAAATTTTGACTGCTGGCCCTACGTAAAAAGAGTTGAAAGGTAAGGCCGCGCAATGGATGCATAGGAGCCCCTGAGTGCTCGAACTAAGCCCCATTGATTGTCACGTTCTGTCTTGGCCGTTCAAAAAGCACAGACTACGTCCTACCACATGAAAAGCATCAAAGCATTGATGCAATGGCAACACGGCGTATCAATTAATATGCTGTGCCAGCTTGCTGATGTTATGCAGCTATAAAGTCTATAATCGAATTGTACTTGACACCCATTGAACGAGAAGGACATCTGATCATGGACCTACTCTGTGATTCAAAGCCTTGTGGAAAATGCACGCTGCTGGTGCTTGGCTGCTTGGCATCCTAATGGTGAAACCATGGTGATCATCACATGATCATTCATCCTCGTCCTCGGACTCCGCAATTTCCTCCGTCTCTGATGTCATCTGCCTCTCCTTGGCTCAGTTTTTTCCCAGCTGAAGCCATGGCGGAATGGACAGTGCTCTTTTGAGATAAGAGTGTGCCTAGGGCCTACGGAATGAACTGCTACTGACATTAACATACATCAACTGTTGATGTATAGTATACTCGCACGTGCAACTTCAACCCAGCCTCTTAGGATCTCTTAGGACTACTCTCCCCTGAAAACGTTGTTTGCACCCAAGCAGCGAGGACTGCCCCACGGACAGGCAGCGGTCCGGTTTCGGCAGCAGGCTTGGCCTGTGCCGGAGAATGAAGTGCCTCAGCTTCTTCACATCCACTGCTCAAAAAGAAGAGACTCTGACTTGGCTCGTGTGGCCAATGCGCGGCCGGTACAGTAAAGCCCGACCATCAATATGAAAATCACCCTATCACTGCTCAATTCCTGATTTTGTGTTCGTCTCATCCGTCTAGCCCAAATTCAATACGGCTGGGTTACCTGTGAAGGTGGTCGTGGTGCAGCCTTCACCGAACGTCCCTTGACAGGTGGAGGCAAAGGTGTCGTGTTGGGTCGTTGCTCCCGTTGCTCTGGTCGATCCGGTGGAATCGATGACGCCAGAGACGCAGCCGACGCCGCCAATGGAGATGTTGGCGCCCGCTCCGGTGGAGGCGGTCTGGATGCCTTCGCCACTGCCCGGATCGCTGGAGGGGCTGGAATGGGAGCCGGTGCGGCCTGTGGCAACGCCATGGAGAACCCTCAAAGATGCCACAAAAAGAGCAACCGCGACAACCCCAACAATCCCTAGCCATCCCAAAATTTCCGACAACCATGTCTAGTGGTTGTTTCAAGACTCGGCACACCATGGAAAGGGCTAGGTCGCTGCACCACACCTGCTTGGCTAAGGGAGTAGATCTTGGCTCCACCGGCAAATCTGCAGGCACATCGGCTACGTCAACCTGAGCGCTCGAGCACTGTCTTTGTTGCTGGATGGCGATGTTTAAATTGCAAAACACTTGACCAAAATGGACTTTGGCGCGGGAACCACATGCAACCTTAGTGGAATTTCAGTGGAAATGGACTTCACGGCAAGACACGGTTGGTGGCTTCGGCATGGCCGGCACGGCCGGCACGGCCATGGCCGCCTTCGTCTCGGGCGCCTTGGGCTCGGCATCATGAACTTCAACTTGTAGCTTACTTGCCACTGGACCTTCTCTGGGTTCTCCTGGACACAGCTGTGACACCCAACATGTTTTTAGGGTGAAAAGATTGGTGAAATCGAAAATGAAATCATCACCGAGGCCTGTCAGGCATAAGAGTGACCAATCATGACAAGACAAAATTACACCGGCAAGAGACCCCAAACAGTGTGGGGGAAGGAAAATATATGTAGGGGAGTTGGTGGATGAAAACAGACGAAAGCAACACTCAAGTGGTTCCGCTGCGAAACTGTTGTTTTTTCCACGCTGCAAAGTGACGCGGAAGTTTTTGAGGGATGCTGCTACGAAATCTAGAGCAAAGCCATGAGATTGGACATGATTGGACAGAGAGCGCGCAACCGCAGCTCTCGTCCTGTGCTGTTTTACCCACGCCTGCCAACGTTTCAGCAACGTCAGGAAAGCAAAATGGATGGAGCACCCTGATCTAACCCCGGCCTTTAGGACTTGCCGTAAGAACCCCTTATTGTGAACACTGTTTGGGGAATAAGACTGCGACTGGAACCTTTCTATGACTCCCACCATGGGAGCAGCACAAGGTGTCCTGGGAGTTGTAGTGGAGCTGCAGTTTTCTTGACGAAGGAGCTTTGTACTGTCTGCATTGCCTCAATTCAACTCAGGCCAGAAAGACACTCTGCAAGATACAAATTGAAAAGGTGAGGTCAGCCTGAAATTCAGGAGCCTGTGCCAGGAATGGGAAAATCATGGAAAATATATGCCTTGAGCCTTGCCGAGGTGCCATTTCTACCATCATTGGCTTTTCTGGTGCCTGGGCCGAGCTGAATCATTGGACACATTTGGAATTCATTTGGACACTCAAAAAGCGTTACCCCTACGGGTCCCTACTGCTGAATCACGCTGAATCTCATGATTTTGCCGGTTTTAGTTACGGCCACCCGAGTCTTGATCCGATGGGTTGACTAACTTCAGCTGAGCCACCCAGTCTTTCACCTGACAACGCATGCCGGTCATCTCCCATCCCAGCACCCGTTTTTGTGGACTGAAGAGGCCATTGCCCCCTTCCGAAGCACAATAAATGTTCCGGATATTGTGAAGGATATCAAAAACTAAAACCATAAAAATCAACAGGGCTCCATGGCCTTGTCCAAGCTGAGAGGGGATGCATCCCATCCTGCAGGCGTGCACTGTCCAAGCAAATTCGTCGCATATACTTCACTTGCTTGGCGAATTTCGGCGATGCCGCAGCAACTGCTGTACTAATGAGCCAATTCAAAGGATTAAGAACTACAAATTTAAATGGATACAAGTGGGTTCGGCTGAAAAACGGGTGCCCCAAAATCCAATTCATTGCATTTCATTGCCATCTTTCAAGACTGTCGGAGGCAGCGCGAGAAACACAAAATCTGTTTGCCGTCATTTTCTCCACTACAACTTGAGGATCTTGAGGCCCAGGGTAAGGGAGGAAAGCTAGCTTGGCAGGGAGCGTGGCATGAAAACACAAAGGGCACAGCGCAGCTGTGCAGCTTTTTCGTCAACATGGGCGAGCGGGTCTGAAGCTGCGGCATGTTGGTAAGGTGAACATCCAAACCTACGTATTGAGGCGATGTATGTTGGAGGGGACGAGGATGAGAACATATGATTGTGATGTACTGTTGCACGAAGAGGATAAGGAAATTCAGCATAGCCAACATGATGACTAGTGATTGGGGAAGGTTCAAAGGTCCACCTTCGGCATCGGAGTGGACCTTTGGCAGCGCGGGAAGAAGTAACGCAGTGCAAAGCCGAAGTTGAGGACGAGAGGTAGGTGCGCGTGCGCAACATGAAAATTAAGCTAGGCCAAGGTTCCATACAGGCTATACCCTGTGAAAAGTGTAAAGTTGTGAGGGTGTAAAGTGAAGTGTAAGGTGTAAACTGTGAAAGTGTAAAGTGTAGAGTCCAGCGTAGAGTGTGGACTGTAAAGTGTAGAGTGTGGAGCGTACAGTTGACAGTGTGAAGTGTAGAGTGTAGAGTGTGGAGTGTAATGCATATATATAGAGTGCGCAGTGTCAAGTGTAGAGTATAATGTGTAGAATGTAGAGTCTAGAGTTTGGAGTGTAAAGTGTAGAGCGTGGGGTGTAAAGCGTAAAGAGTAAAGTGTAGAGATGTGTAGAGTGTAAAGTGTGAATGTGTAAAATGTAAAGTGTAAAGTATAGAGTGTAGAGTGTGGAGTGTAAAGTATGGAGTGTGGAGTGCCAAGTGTAAAGTGTGGAGTGTAAAGTGTAGTGTGTGGAGTGTAGAGTGTAGAGTGTGGAGTGCTTAGTGTAAAGTGTAATGCGTGAAGTGCGAAGTGTGGAGTGTAAAGTGTAGAGTGCGCAGTGCAAAGTGTAGAGTGCAATGTGTAGAGTGTAGAGTGTGGAGTCTAAAGTGTGAAAAGTGAAGTGTAAGGTGTAAAGTGTAAAGTGTGAAAGTGTAAAGTGTAGAGTGTGTAGACTGTAAAGTGTATAGAGTGTGGAGCATACAGTGTACAGTGTAAGTGTAAAATGTAGAGTGTCAGGTGTAAAGCATGAAGTGTAAAGTGTAAAGTTCAGAGTGTGGAATGTGAAGTGTAGAGTGTGGAGTGTCAAGTGTTAAGTGCGAAATGTAAAGTGTAGAGTGTGCGGACTGCAAAGTGTAAAGTGTAGAGTGTGGAGTGTAAAGTGTATATAGAGTGCGCAGTTTCATGTGTCGAGTGCGATAGAGTGTAGTGTGTACCGTCTGGGGTGTAAAGTGTAAAGAGTAAAGTGCAGTGTAGAGTACGGAGTGTCAGGTGTAAAGTGTGAAGTGTAATGTAAAGTGTAAAGTATAGAGTGCAGAGTGTGGAGCGTAAAGTGTGGAGTGTCAAGTGTAAACTGTGGAGCGTAAAGTGTAGAGTGCGGAGTGTAAAGTGTAGAGTGTGGAGTGCGTGGTGTAAAGTGTAATGCGTGAAGTGTAAAGTGTAGAGTGTGGAGTGTTAAATGTAGAGTGCCCAGTGTCAAGTGTAAAGTGTAGTGTAATGCGTAGAGTGTAGAGTGTGGAGTGTAAAGTGTAGAGCGTGGGGTGTCAAATGGAAAGTGTAAAGTGAAAAGTGTGGAGTGTAGAGTGCGGAGTGTAAAGTGCAAAGTGCAATGTGCAAACTCTAAAGTCTAGAGTGTGGAGTGTAAAGTGTAGAGTGCGGAGTGTCAAGAGTAAAGCATGAAGTGTAATGTGCAAAGGGTGGAGTGCAAAGTGTAAAGTGTAAAGTGTGGAGTGTAAAGTGTAGTGTGGGGGGTGTAGAGTGTAGAGTGTGGAGTGCGTAGTGTAAAGTGCAATGCGTGAAGTGCAAAGTGTAGCGTGCGGAGTGTAGAGTGTGGAGTGTAAGTGTAGAGTGTGAGAGTGTAGAGTGTAGAGTTAGAGGGTGGAGTGTGGAGTGCCAAGTGTAAAATTAGAGTGCGGAGGGTAAAGTGTAAAGTGTAGAGCGAGGAGTGTGGGGTGTAAAGTGTGGAGCGCAAAGTGTAGAGTGACTGACGGTGACCGCGGGGGGGTTGAGCCCAGGGCCAAACTGCTTGTGAAGGGGAGGGGGGGGGTTGGGGGTAGTTAACTGAAAAGTTTCTCGCGATTGGAGATTCCAGCCGCCCCCACTACCTTGCTAAAGCAAGAGGGACTTCAGCTAGCAGAAGCTAGCTTTCGTGATTACACCATTTTCAGGGGGCGGTGGTAAACGCCCTCCCCACAAACGGATTAAATACTGCCCCCTGGGGAACCATCGGGGGCAAGAGGGGGCGAGAGGGAAGCATTCTGTTGGGAGGGACACGATCCTTTAGGTTGGGGAGGACCTTCATGGAAGCATTGAGGGCAAATCTTATATGAAAAGGCTTCTTGGGGGGGACAAGACCCTTTAGGGCGAGAGAAGGGCGAGAGAAGGGCAAGAGGGGGGGGGGCGAGAGGGGGGGGGCGAGAGGAAGGCTGGGAGCGAGGAGGGCAAGAACGGGGGCGAGAGGGGGTTGAGGGTGGGGTGATTAAGCCCCGGCCCATTTTCAGGCACCCAAATGAATATCAACCATCACAAACGTTAGCAAGAAGGGCCGAAAAATATCACTTTTTAGATTTATTTGAATGATCCTCATGCTATTGCCAACTCTGTCCTGCCGTCGCAAGGCTTGCAAAGCTTACACTGGGCAATGCTTTTGGTGACTTTGGCTCCTCCCGGATGCAGCGGAATTTTTGGGCTCTGCTGCAATTTAACACAGCTATGGAAAATTGCCCGTTTATAGATTATTTGCCCATTAGAAATCAGGATTTTCCCTACAGTAGCATTTCCGTAGCTGTGTTAAATAACCAGAAGGTAAACGTCTTCGCACCCACCGCGGATCTACAGGTGGTAGCAGTTTCCTAAAGTCAGAGCTTGCAGAATGGGCGAAATCCCCCCCGGCCCTTGCAGTCTCCTTGTCCAAGACAGCATGTGAGTCATGTGAGGGTGTTTTTCTGCTTGCCAGTAGGTCCTGCTGCACTTTGGTCACCTTGGATTAGGTGTCAAACTCTCTAAAATGGTGCGAAAGAAGCATGATTCAAGCGCAGCCTGAGAATGACACTCCCAGTTTTCAAGAAATCCAGACCTCTCCAGGCTTTACCAAGTGCAGCTTCGGCACCAGATTGACGGCATCCTCTGCCCCAAGCTTCAGTAGTCGAACGCGTGCCTCCACCAAGTTGTCGGCCGACAGAAACTTGCCATGCTGCTCACCATGTATGAAGCTGCGGGCGTGGTGGTGCCACTGCGAAGCAGTTTCAGCCAGGGGGGTCTGGGTGGGAATGTAGCCAGAGGTTTCCGCAAGGATGAGAAGCACATAGATGGTGTCTATCGGTAGGGTCGCCTGGTCAAAGGAATCGAGCCAAAGTGCGCTAAACTCGGAGATGGCCTGACACAGCGAACTGGCCAATGTCACTGCCATGAACTTTTTTGGGTTGTTTGATGTCTGTTAAGTTTTATGAATCTTTATGAATGTGAAAAATTGTTTTTTTTAACAAATGGTATGCTGTGATAAACATGAATCAAAATGGCTCAAAATTGGAGATACTGTACCCTCTGGTAATTGAACAGTTTGCTATTGAAAATTGCCCATAGAAATAGTTGATTTCCCATGATTTACCATGATTTACCATGATTTACCATGATTTACCTACTAAAAATCCGCCCACACCGCTTTGGCGGTGAAGGCGTGCTTATTGGGGGGCAACAGCAACACTAAATGCTCAATGACATTTGTTAATATAGCAGTCGCTATATCAGCTTTAGCTGGGGGGGGGGGGCAAAAACGGTTTCGCACCGAGACCAGACCCCAAAAACGGTTTCGCACCGAGACCAGAATACGGTGGTGTTTTCGACATTTTTCGAGGATTTTTGGGTGTCTGAGCGCAAGAGGGTATTGAAATGGAATTTTGGGTCATTTTGGTAGCTTTCCGGCAATGGAAAAACGGCCAAAAATGAAAAAAACATTGTACATAGCAAGATTTTGCAGGGTTTTTGGATGCCAGAGCATTGAAAACACTGCAAAAACAAGTGTTTTGGACTGACGTTATAGCAAAAAACGTGTAAATTACCGTATGCTTGACTGGAAACATTACAAAAACACTGTCAAAAGCAATGTTTTGGAAGGATTTACTGCCTTTATGGCAAAAAACGTGTAAATTACCGTCTGTTTGACTGGAAACATTGGAAAAACACTGTCAAAAACAATGTTTTGGAAGGATTTCTTATATATATGTTGGAGTTGGCTACCGGCATTGGCACATGGAAAAATTGAAGAAAACACTGTAAATAGCGGTATTTTCAACGGTTGGGGAGATAAGGGAATTGGAAGCATTGTCGAACATGATGTTTTCGACCGGTTTTATGGCGACAAAAGTGTAAAGTACCGTGCTTTGAAGGAAACCATTGCAAAAACATGGAAACACATTCAAAGAACACGGGATTTGGGGGACTATCTAGGCGTCGTTGTCTAGCTATTTGAAATTCCGCAGCTTGGAGAGCCTCCAAGGGAGGGAAAAGTGAAAATTCCATAGCTTGGGAAGCTGTCACGGCGGGGAAAAGTGAAAATTCCCTAGCTTGGGAAGCCCCCACGGGGGGGAAAAGTGAAAATTCCCTAGCTTGGGGAGCCCCCACGGGGGGGAAAAGTGAAAATTCCCTAGCTTGGGGAGCCCCCACGGGGGGGAAAAGTGAAAATTCCCTAGCTTGGGGAGCCCCCACGGGGGGGAAAAGTGAAAATTCCCTAGCTTGGGGAGCCCCCACGGGGGGGAAAAGTGAAAATTCCCTAGCTTGGGGAGCCCCCACGGGGGGGAAAAGTGAAAATTCCCTAGCTTGGGGAGCCCCCACGGGGGGGAAAAGTGAAAATTCCCTAGCTTGGGGAGCCCCCACGGGGGGGAAAAGTGAAAATTCCCTAGCTTGGGGAGCCCCCACGGGGGGGGGAAGTGAAACTTCTTAGCTTGGGGAGCCCCCACGGGGGAAAACCACCCTTAGCCCCTCTCACGGACCGAAATAAACCTGCGGTGTGGGGGCCACCCCACGCGAAGCGGGGTGAATAGTGATTTTCCAGTTCGCAAAACTGTAAACGTTTACCAGAGGCTACCCATAGGACCCACCAGGATGCTGGACGCCTTGGCGAAGTTTTGTCGCTCCACAGAGGGGCCAAGGCGTAACACGAGAGCCCGAAGTTGCTTGCACACAGAAACCTCAGCACATCATGAGGGCTGGTTGGAAAAGCAATGGAAAACCATAGGAAAACCATAGGAAAATGGGAAAATCATAGGAAAACCATAGGAAAATGGAGGTTTACCCTCTGGTAAACGTTTACAAATAACTATGGAAAGATCCACCATTGTTAATGGGAAAATCCACTATTTCTATGGCCATGTTCAATAGCTATGTTAAATTACCAGAGGGTAAGTTGCTTTAAAGATATGTTTAACGCTCAAGTAAAGATAAGTAAAGAAGCTTAACATCATCATAGTCGATTATATAAATATAGTAAATGAACGAACAAATTATATAAATAATGATGAATACATCAATACATCAGAAACATCAAGGATAGTCAAGGTTCATTTAAAACGACAAACATCCCAGTTTTTTTTAAACCGGCCCTTTGCCAAGCAGCCAAACGAGTGCAGCGACGCCGTCTTGCACTAACCTGCTCTGCCTTGATCTGTGCCGCGCTCACAACTTCAACGTCGGTCATTTGAGGAGACCACCTCGGCTGGTGGTGGCTGATGATATGATGATATATCAATCATATACGAATAGTAATATATATATAGATATACTATAGATATACTACTGATATACTACTGATATACTGATGATTACTATAGATATACATACTATGAATATACTGATATACTATAGATATGTCTATACAGTATCAATCATGTACGAATAGTATTATTGAATGATAGTATATCAATTAATATTGAAGGATAGTATATCAATTAATATTGAATGATAGTATATCAATTAATATTGACTGATAGTATATCAATTAATACTGACTGATAGTATACCCTCTGGTAAATTAACATAGACCCTGAAAACACCCAAATTTTAGTGGAAATTAGTCTTTCAACCCCTGTCTGCCAGGGTCTATGTTAATTTACTGGAGGGTATCAGATAATATTGACTGATAGTATGCCTATTAATATTGACTGATAGTATATCAATTAATATTCACTGATAGAATATCAATTTATATTGACTGATAGTATATCAGTTAATATTGACTGATAGTATATCAACTAATATTGACTGATACTATCTCAACTAATATTGACTGATAGTATATCAATTAATTTTGACTGATAGTATATCAATTTATATTGATTGATAGTATATATATATCAATTAATATTGACTGATAGTATATCAACTAATATTGACTGATAGTATATCTATTAGTATTGACTGATAGTATATCAATTAATATTGAATGATAGTATATCAACTAACATTGACTGATAGTATATCAACTAATATTGACTGATAGTATATCAAGTGATATGGACTGATATTATATCAATTAGTATTGACTGATAGTATATCATTTAATATTGACTGATAGTATATCAATCAATATTGACTGATAGTATATCAATTATATAATATTGACTGATAGTATATCAATTAATATTGACTGATAGTATATCAATTAATATTGACTGATAGTATATCAATTAATATTGAATGATAGTATATCTATTAATATTGACTTATAGTATATCTATTAATATTGACTGATAGTATATCAATTAAGATTGAATGATAGTATATCAATTAATATTGACTGATACTATATCAGTTAATATTGACTGATAGTATATCTATGGTATATCTATGGTATATCTATAGTATATCTATTTCATACCTTTAGAATATCTATAGTATATCTATAGTATATCTATAGTATATCTTTTGTATATCTATGGTATATCTATAGTATACCTATAGTATATCTATAGTATATCATATCTATATTAGTTGATATACTATAGCTGACAACAAAAGGCGGATAATGACCCATGAATGATACTGGTTGGAATTCATGACAGTTGGATGCCATAGTTCGACTCAATGAAGCTGAACAACGGGTTGTCTCTTTGCATTCCGGCAACTGAGCGCACCCAGTTCCTGTCTCCATTTGAATCGCAATAGCAAACACTATCAATGGTATTACTGTAATACAACTCCACCATGCATGTGATTTCCAAATGTGTCCAATCTCTTTGGTTTCTGTTTCTGCTGGATGTCATGCCATTTTCTGGCTTGGAAGAACGATGAAACACGGGTTGCCGGGTTGCGACTAGAAGGGACATGAGCCACTTGGATTGCAAGAAAGTTACTGCAGAAGGAACTTCTCATCGTCACTGGGCAGAAAGAACGGCAAGGCGGTGTGAATAGCAAAGTTCTTGATCGAGACTGCCAGGGCCGTCAGATCAGACAATTGGACAATGCTGAAACGGGCCGTGAGGTGGAGATGGGTGGAGGCTTCAACCCCTAGGCGCACGCCTTGCAATAGCAAGCCTCACTGAAACATCCATTCTCTTGGTCCTAATCTTGCTGTGCGCTACGTGATTGGACGCTTCAAGGTGTTAGGCTCTAGCCTCTAGACTATGGAAGGTAACCTTCCAAAATATTTGGCTCTGCTCAGTGTTCTTGGGGGCTTTGGCCAATGCTCGAAAGCTGTAGGAATTGGGGCAGGACATGGTAGGGAAACTTCAAAAGCGACTGGCATGCACAGACTTTCCAATCATGGCATCAGTTGCTTGGGTCGACGAAAACTAAGACTAGCCGCATGGGAGTCTTTCCCATTAACTGAGTAACTAAGGGCTTAATGGATCGTTAACTTGAGGGATTTCAACCATCACCATCAACTGATCTCTCTCTCTCTCTCTATTGGCCCATGCCCTCAGAAAATCCCTCGCCTGCAAGGTTGGCCATGGATTTCCCCTCCTTTTTGTTCTTTTTGGGGCTCTTTTCCTGCTCCTTTTTCTCCTGGGCCATGTCTTCTGCTGCTCCTCTGAGAAACTGTGCCACGATGTGAAGCCCAAAGAAGGCACAGGTGAATGCCATCAAGGAGACCAGCGAGCCCGCCAGGACCATTGTGACCGTGGTCGATGGGTTGAAGATCAAAATGATGGAGACCACACTGAAAAGGCTGAACCTTGAATTTACGTTGATTTAGGGACCATGGGATATCAAAAGATTTGCCCAGATATGCCCAGTAGATTCCCCAGTCATCCCAGTCATTCTATGTCATGGTGCGTTATGGTGGGTTAAGTTGTAACCTGTGGGGAGGGGAAAGTTAAAAAAATGACTCTTCAAATCCATTCAAATCCCACCTCGTGATCAGCAGGGTCATTTCCAGCACATCCAGAATGCGACCTTGCGCCTCTGTAAATGGCTTGTACCAGGAAAAGATTCCCAGCTGGCAACCTGAAAGGATGGGAAACAGCAAGAGCTTCGCCTTTTCATCAGCTGCCAGGCTAGTGTAGGTCACCAGATTCATCGTGCCAACATCCAAACGCTTGACGATGATGTCCCACCACCAAAATTGTGGCTCGTAGCCCTGAATGAAGAAGCCATACTTTCGGTTGTTGTCCGGGCTCTGTCTGTCTTTCATCGCCCAAATATTCAAATACAGCAGGATGGGAACACCAAGACACCAAACTGAAAGCCCAATGAAGCACATGATTGCAACCAGAAAATGATCCCGGCTCCAGCAGATCAATTCCGGATCAGGCTTTAGTCGCTGCTTTGTGATGGTGATCCCTGCGTCATTGTCCTCCAAAATCGGCACGCACCAGAGCAGTTTCAAGAAGTTGGACAGCAAGGTTGGCCACCTCAGAGCCGCGCCGAAAACAATGGTAGAGTGCGGACCGCTAGGATGGGATATGATGGGATGCAGGCAGTAAACTCAGGAAAAACGTTAATAGAAATGGTGATTTCATGGCAATTTCACCATTTTGTGTGGGGATTTTGTGGGGATGTTGATTTACAAACCAACAATCATGAGTCCAAAAGTGATCTTTACTGCTCGAAAAACTGCTCCCTGCAACCTTGCCAGCGTCTGCTGGAATCTGAGTGTTCCAAGCCACATAGACAGAAGCATGACCCAAAAAACTGGGATACATTCAACGAACAGTCTCCGCGGCAACGGTCGAGATGAGAACAGGCCGCAGTCGAGAGTTTCCTGAGTTGAAACATGTGGAAACAAACCTTGAGATACGCCAGATACGTCAATTTTCGTCAAGCATTCAAGACCATTCAAGCATATCTCAGTGGCAAAAGTTGACGAAAGAATATGAAAGAAGACACAGGAGAACTATGTGGCAGACGGAGCCTGTAACGGAGAATGGCTGCGATTCTCTGACATGTATATAATCTGCCTTCAAGGAGCGATATCCACAGTCGTGCGTGACATAAGCTGACCCTCCGTGACCAGCGTGTGTTTGCTGTGGGATCCCTGTAGAAGTGGTCGCCTCAGGATTTCTGATGGTGAAACTCTGTGAAACCATCTCAAACCATGTCAGCCCATGTCGGTTTGTTTGAACATTGGGTGCCCCATTCCATCCATAGCTTTATCATCACTTTCCTATACTTTCCTGGGTATTCAACGGCCACTTGGGAATGCCTCCCATTGTCAGACAGACCCAAATGTTTCACATTGAGGGGATTTGAAATTGATTCAAACCATGAATGGCTCACGGTTTGACATCCAATTACTCACAGTTCTTGGTTACAGTACCCATTGTATGCTCTTGGAGCTGTCGCTGTCAAAAACCCATGAAACCCCAAAAGGATCCCCTTGATAGTTCTGGTTTGTATTGTATCCCCCTTATCCAGTCCTTCTCCAAGGTCAACCCTCTGTGCCTCACTGCATCGCATGTTGCCCTGCATAATGCTGTGAAGGCCTCCGTTTGCTCGCCCTGAGATGCGCAGAATCAACCCCCAAAAGGATGCCTTTTTAGCTGGAATCCTGGAAAATCTGCGGAAAATGATCATCTACCCTCTGGTAATTTAACATAGCTATTGAAAATGGCCATTTATAGTGAGTTTTCCCATTAAAAATTGTGATTTTCCATAGTTATGTTAGTTTACCAGAGGGTAAACCATTCTAAACCTATCTGAAGCAGCCAACCTGACAACCTGGCAGTTTCCATCCGAGAGTCGGCAAAGACCCTCTGGTAAAGGTCCGCTGCGGAGTCGTAAGAATCTGCCACCTGCCCAACATCCCAACGAGATGCCACAGCGCGTCCAGACGTGAAGACGTGAGAGTTCCATGGTACGACTGTAGTTGATTAAGTATAGTAACCGGAGTAAACCCCAAAAAAAGAGAAAACACTATTTTAGCAGGGGTTGACTTTTCCATCCATTTTGGGGTTGCTATAGTATATACATGTTTATAGAACTGAGAACTTCATGGTGAATACACAGATGTGTTTTTTTCTTGCTGGGGCTTCTCAGAGGAATACACAGATGTTGCACAAATGAATGTGTTGGGATGTTGGCAATCATGATGATAGTTTATAACAGGATGAACATACAAACATAGAAAAGAAAACTTCATCGAAACAATGCATACATACAGCGTAAATCCATACGAATATGAATGGGCTAAATGAATCTAAATGAGTCATGACCCCCCACTTGTTGGATCTTATTTGTGAAGATTGTACCGGAACTTTTTCTTGATGAGTACAAGCCCCACTGGGACAAGCTCCAAACTTGAAACATGACGAACAAATGCAGCAATGAGTTGAACACCATTAGAGGCTCCGCTGTGGGTGTCATCAAGCAAGCTGCTACCCACAAGAGGACCACACACCCTAAATTCAAAGCGTCCGCAGTACAACCGTCAGAGGGCAAATGCATGACTAGCTCCAAGAAATGTGAAGCATCCGCTGTATATAAAGGCAAGAACTATGTCCCAAAGCAAATAGCATTGATAGCATACAGTATTACAAAATATTATAAATTATGAATTATAAATCGATCATTGGAGCCGATTCTGAGGTTATCATGAAAGGCACGAGCTTTCGAAAAGTCGTGCCATCCAAGAGCCGTCCTAATGCCGAACGTCCCTGAAGCAACTGCTTTGCAAAGGACCGAACAGGATCTAACAGGATCCTGCCTACACAACATTAATCCGAGCATTTGGTTTGCACGCAAATGCCACAATGCTCAAACGCGGTCACTTCCCAGCAACACTGATATACAAAGGCGAAAGGCTGAAAGAAAGACTAGAAGCAAGCCATCATGATAGCCAGTGCTTCTCCAAAAACATAAAAAAGCATAAAAAAGCATATTCGAAGACGGATCGCAAACAGGCGAACATTCGACTTTTGTTTAAGGCAGTTTGATGGCTTTGGCAAAAGCCAAAACAAACAGCAATCAAATGCGGGCAGAGGGTTTGAAGCAATGATCGTGAGAAACTCCTCAAGCTTAACTTCAACCTGTGCTTGCTTCATCTAGGTATATCTAGGTTCTTGATGCGACTATGCGTTGGGTCTTCGCCCGGGATCTTCTGTCCGTTCTGTATCCAAAATGTCGCAGGGAATTGGTGGGGAACCATTTGCAGAAAACATGAATACATCTTCGATCATCTTCTTAAATGAAAAATCGAAACAAATACATACTGCAATATACTGCAATAATCTGCAATACCTCTTTCAACATCCCTTTATCATTACGGTATTTATTACAAAATATATCAAATTATCATAAATTATCAAGGTAAGAGATGCATATTCCGTACTGGTGTTGCCCAAAAAGTTCTCTCGCTGCCTTTGCTGCAACTTCCAACGGGTCCACATCGGCCAGCTCAGCTTCCTCTTGAACGATAGCTCGATGTTTCCACACCAGGGCCCGCTTCGCCTTGGTTTCTCAGCATGGGATCAGATCATGCAGCGACATGCAGCGACTGAACGCAGCTGGGAGGCAAATGTCTCCAGTTCGCTTGGACTCAACCTGGCACTTGCACGCGTCGGCTGGGACGCAGAGAAATATTAGAGAAATGCACATGGCTGGGTCTGAAAATGAGGTATCGTAGAGGTATGCCCCAAAATTTCAATGGTTGATCATCATTGTTCCTATTCACTTGCCATATATTGGGTGTACCGCATACATCGGGAAAAACTCCATTTTCGGACAAACCCAAAAGCACCTCCGCAAAATGTTCCCGTGTTGGCCGGATACAACACACAACAATACAGCAATGGCGAAATGTCTCAGTACGAAATTCACTACGGGGGGATCATATTGATGACGAATTATGACTGCCTTCTAGTGATTTCACATAGCTATGGGAAAAAAAAAGTCCGTTTTGTTCGATGATTTACCATTTTAATCCATGTTAAATAACGGAGATGTTCCATAGCAAAGTCAACGTATGGTATATTGCCAGAGGGTTTTCAGTACGGATAGGCGGAGGGTTTTTCCAAACCCTTCAATTGCTCGGACCAAGTAGCTGCTGTGTGGCTGTTTCCTGCAAGCCTGCAGCATTGTGTCATGCAGCACTCATAAATCATCAATGAATGAAACCAACAGTTGAGGAGTTGTTTCCCATGTCATAAAGCATCTAAGAGTGGTGGATAGTGGTGGATCTCTCAAAGCAAAATGGCCATCTTTTAATCTTTGAAAAAACTTACCCTTACCGGGACCCTGAAATAGCCGACATGTTCCTGACATTTGAGGCTCCAAGATTAGCTGGGTCAGCTTGGTTTTGAGCAAGGAGCTTTCTGGTGTCATTCCCCACACCAGCAGCTCAGGCTTGGCAGTGAAGGCATCCCAGTTCAGCCGAATCCGCCTCGAAAGAGTCGCCTCGGAGCTACAAAAACCCGAACGTTCCATGATTTTCTGTGACCTCCCAGGACCTTCCACAACTTATCCATCCTATCCTCAAGATCAGCTACAGGAAGTCCTTTTCATGGCTTTTTCCATCAACCAAGTCACCAAATACGATTCACTGCGAGCACGTTGTAGGCCTTGGACCGTCACCATTCCCCATCGCCAAAGTGGCTGGTCCACTACTCATGGCCCATGGCTATAGAATCATCCCCATCAATGCCGCTAGCCAAGTCGCACATCTTTATAGCCAGGGGTTTTGAGAAGGCTAGCTCTCCTGCAGTCTCAAGTCGCACCAGCGATGCGACTTGCTGCAATGGATGTTTAACACATTTGTATACAGTACATGTTTGTGTAGCGTGTTTGTTGATATTGCGTGTGCGCACAAATGAACCTATTTGACCTATTTATCAACCTGTGCATATATATATATATACAATCATTCATTTGTATGTCGTTGTTTGTTGTTTGGCATTGTGTATGTCTATATATATACATACATATATAGAATTATCATGATGATCATATATGCCGCCACACTCTCTGCGGGCATACTCTATGTGAGCATGCTCTGTTAACTGTGCGTTGTGCCATTCTCAGATTAACTTTGATCCCAGTTTCTCAGTCACGGACATGGGGGGCACTCAGCATGAAAATCTATATGTGAAACCATTCTATGTGTTACTATGGGATAAACATGGATAAACCTTATCCAAATATCATGGGCATTGCGGACATTTCAACCTCGGGATTCTTCTTGGAATGGTTTTTACCCCTACGTTGACGGCCAACAGCCGCAGGTTAGAGCAAAGGAGAAAAAGTAAAATAATAATCAAAATACCGCCTATGTAGTAACCCCCACAAGATAGAAATGCAATTTGCTTGTCGTTTATCTATAGTCTATAATCATATATAAAGAAATGGTCCTTTTCTATCTTTATCGGGGTTGCTACCGCATTCAAGAACGGGCCCGGGGTAGCTGGCAGGTTGGGGATGCATCGATGCATCATGATGCATCCATGGCTCCCTCGATGAATTCATGAGGAGCTTCAATGCCATCCTCGATGCTCTCCAAGGTTGCTGTTTCTAGCACCCCGGACTCCTGTAGCCCACCAGGGCTGGAGCAAGTCAGCCAAGATGTCAAGTCAGAATCAACAGCGACATCAACAATGACACGTAAAAATTGGGTGCAGTCCTTGACGTCTTCCCAAGTGAGTCCAAGGCCGGGCAACAGTGGTTCCAAACACATGGACAGCTTCTCAATGGCAGCTCTTGTTGCCTTCTGTCGCTTTGCTTTGGGATTGAAGTGTACGCCAAACTTGTTGGCCAAAGGAACCAAGCCATAAACCACAGAGGCACACACGAGATACACACTGACCATCGCAAAAATGGGGTTTGTCAGGTAGTACACCGCAGGACCCATCAGCTTCAAACCTTTCATCCTCGGTCGAAGCAACTGGGACCACGAATCAGCCATAAACATCAGCTCCGAAAATATCTGCTCCCTGCAAACAACAAGTCCTTGACACCACAAAGTTCAAGGAGCATCCATCTCCCATTTTATATATTTATATTTATATATATATATATATCATTAATGATTGCTTTGTAACGCCCACACCGGCACCCCTCGATGTCCTGCCATCTCCTGCCATGGCTCTCTTTATTCTGCACGATGGTTTGAGCAAAACAGCTCGTTGCGAATTCCACCGTGGCGATTCGCGGCCTTGCAGTGACTTGTAGGAGACGACTTGCTGAGCGCAAAGCGAAGACTCTGCAGGAGATTTGTGAAAATCAGTATTGTTCGGAGGATACTCCAAGTTCGCGTAAAGGTGTTTTCAAAATTATATGTTTTATCATGTTTTATCAAGTTTTATCCGTCTTCGGTCAGCCTTTTTGGGGCCTAGGTTTTTTCACCTAACCATAGCCGCTTCCCCTCCAGCTGCTCCAGCTCTGAGGCGACGACACGACGTTCAAAACCGAAAAGAGGCTCTGCATCGCTTGCGTGGCTTCTGGAGGCCAAGGCATTTTCAGCCCCTGAGTTGGTGAAGAAATCCGTGAAGGCAGGCACTTCATTAAATTCGGACCCCCCGGTCACGAGCTTTATTATTTAGTCCTGATGAAAAAAACCCGAGAATTTCTGGCACGACTTTCTACACCTGGAAAAATCGTACCGTAGAAAGCCGTTCTCTTCAGCATGCGCGGTCTGGGGCCTCCGAATCCGTGTTGCATGCAGTGGCATTTGCATCAGCGCATTCTTGCAATTGCTTCATCTCCTCCTCGTCCTCTGACCAAGCAAAGCTTTTGAGTTGGTCCAGATTGAACTCTAGGAGGACAGAACCTGCGAACTCACACATCCTTCGCGAGCATACTGTGCTTGTGTCGCCATGGACATGGGAGGGCGTTGGAACCAGATCACATTTACACAACATTACACAACTATGTTCTCTTTTGGGTCCTTCAGTCTTGCTACATTGAAAACGGAGATTCTCACCGTGCAAGAGCATCTGAAAACAAGATCTCTTGGCACAGGCTGATGATCACTTGTGATTGTGCCAGGTAGCAAGCTGCTATCCATTGCGAGCCGATACCTTGTCTGACAGAAAGGCATCATACTTGAATCAATTGAAACAACTATCACACCGGTGTCTGACAAACTACTGCGAAATAATGCAAGGTGCGAATGATGCTGGTGTGAAGCTTCACACCCCCTTTCACCGCAGTCGTGGCAGCCATCACAGCCACCACAAAGTTCATGAAGGCCTTTTGAATGAGGTCCGACGCAATTCCCAACTCAGTAGGCGTCGCTGTGGGAGCCCAATGGTGTACCCATGGCACCCCTCCATAAATTCATCAGGTCGGGTCAACCACGCCATCGTATTGTGTTTTGGGGTAGGCGCACATCTACGAAATCCCAGCCCTGACAGACAAAACACTGTTCTATGAAATGAAGACCCAGCGACAAACTCTGCGTCAGAAATGCTTCAAAACAGAACAACTTTTCGAACGCTATATAAATGCTGTATACAACAAGGGTTCTGACCCCCTCAAGATTCTAGTCTCTTCAAAATTGATTCTTAGAAGGGCAGTTGACTGCCCGGATTTTGTAATTAGAGGAAATTCATGGAAATTCGTGATTCGTGAGGATCCTATGGCTGTTCCAATCCCATCAGTTACACTTACCTGGGTTCGTATTATACATGCGTTTTTCCATCAGTTTCAGGACCCGTTTCAAAAGGTCTGTGAATCTAAGGGGCTGCAAGCACACTTCCAGGGTCGTCAGGGCAGATCTGACAGTAGTCTGGATAGCTATCACGCGAATAACCATCTGGGCAGTGACCACAAAGAACGCCAGCGGAGCCTGAAGCGTAGCGCAGGTTGCATGGCTATTCACCTCTCAAATTCAATCACGCTTCATGTCCGGCTATGTACCCTCCAGTCATCAAACATGGCAATGGGAAATCCCCAGTAAAGTGGCATTGAAATCAGAAAATGGATGAAACTCGTCTATCAATGATGCTTTTCCAGCCAGTCATGTTTGATGAGTAGAGTCTTACTAGAGACTGCTGTCAGTTCCTTTCTGCAGCTGCCAGAGTAAGGACGGCACCGGTTCCACATCCATTGCCTCACAGCAAGAAACCACTCTATTTTGCACATCGATCTGCCACCAAGGTCTATGAAATAATGATGAAAATCAATGTTGAAAGTTGGTAACAATAAACCACCCATAGTTTGATGGTTTATATCACTCATTTATATTCATTTATGGTACAATTGGAATGGTTAACGGTTGGACCATGTCACACCATAGAGATGTCAAGTGTGCCAAGTGCTGCCATGTCTCCAAAGGGACCGTGGCAACCGGCTGGAGCTTGCAGGCCAAGCCGTTGCGAGACGCAGCCTTGACCACCCATGCAGGCTGAAGACCCGTCCGGCATGAGAACGTCGCACGATGTGGCCGTCGTCAGCCCTGTCTGGAAGAAGCCAGGCCTCCCATCTGCCAAACATCACAACGGACGGCAAACGATCGCGCCCCAATCCCCAATCCCCTTAAGTTTCAATGGGGAATTGGGTCTTCAGCCACTGCTCCCATTGGGATGTAAAAAGAACTAATCGGGGCAACGCTTTGGCCTACCTTACCTGCCTCTGCTTTACAAACATGTTACAAAAATGTGTTGTGATCATCTTGCGATTGTCATCCATCTCCGTTGCTTTTTGCGCTGGCTTTTGGTATAGCAGTTCCTGTTGTCATTTTCTTCTGCATCTCCTTTTGTTCTTCCCCTTGATGGCCGTCCTGTTCTATCTTCTTGCGCATGTGCTTATTCCCTCCCTTCTCCCCGTCTGTATATCCTATCCATTCCTATCTTAGCCATTCCTACTCTTCTTTTCGGAGGAAGGAAGCTTGTGATGAGAACATGACCGCCTAGTCCCGTGTGATTACGCAGTGACTGAAAATTGGAAGGCAAGCATCGTTCTGAGTGCAACTGAGGAACTGGGCTATAGGCAAGGCATGAACCCCTGGCCCAGAAGTCGCAGTGTGATTAGTCTGATTCTCAAAGCCACCTCTGCAGTCAAGGCCTTCAAAGGTGCAGAGAATACATTTATCAAGTTGCCCGCTGTTGCTATCAATGCTTGCATAGAAATTGGGTTCGCAGAAACAATCGGCCAGTGTAACTGCGCCCAGTTCACTGTTGGCATTCGCAGGGCACTTGAGCGGACACTCCCCATCCCCAAGATTCGGTTTGTAGCTTTTGCGCGGGCAAGGTTGGCAATCAGTCTCTTGAGATCCGTCAGCGTAAAATGTTCTGACAGCAAAGTAGCCTGGTTTGCAACTACAATCACTTCTTGCCCTTCTTTGATTCGTGGTGGTGGAATTGTTGGGGCACAATACTTTTTGCCCATCTCCGGTACAATAGGAGCCCTCGGGGCACGTAGTGCAGGAGCCCATGTCATCATCATGGAGCCCTTCCTGCCACAAGGAAAGTGCTTGACAATGCCCTGAAAGAAGCAAAGCCAATCGCTCAATTGTTGAGTCTATAGTATATGTATGAAATATGTTTATGTCTATGATCAAGTCTATGTCTATGCCTACGTCTATGTCTATGTATGTATGTAGGTATGTAGGTATGTAAGTATGTAGGTATGTAGGTATGTAGGTATGTAGGTAGGTACGTACGTACGTACGTACGCGCGTACGTACACACGTATGTATGCCAGTGTGTTTGTGTGTGTGTGTGTCTCTATGTCTGTCTGTCTGTATGTCTGTCTGTATGTTTGTCTGTCTGTGTGTATGGATGCATGGATGCATGTATGCATGTATGGATGGATGGATGTAAATGTATGTAAATGTATTTAAATGTATGTAAAAGTAAGTAATTGTATGCAAATGTATGTAAATGCATGCATGTATGCATGCATGCATGCATGCATGTGTGCATGTGTGTATGTGTGTGTGTATATGTATCTGACCATAGTGCTTGCAACACACACTAGGTCGATCAAAAGGCGCAAGGGGCAACAGGCAGCATCCTGTTTTGCAAATCTCGCTTGAACTCAAGTGGCCACTGATGCCTCTGCAGCCAACGTGCTTCTACAAACTCTACTGGACCTTGAACTTTTCCAGTCCAGCAGCAGCAAACCCTGGGAAACTACATCAGTCGCTTTGGGATCTGCTAGCCAAACTACTGCACCGTGCTGACTGGCAAAGCCCTCAGCATTCGGAGAAGAAGAATCTGCGTAGGTCACGACCATAGTTGCATAGCTCAAGGGAACAGGTCGTAGAACAATTCCTTGGCTCTTCGTGGCATGCAAATGGCCGACGGCTTCATACATGTTGTGCAGATCCTCGTATGTGGACTTCGCGCCCTTGCTGCTCAAGCTAACCACCGAGGCCACGTCAGGACGTGTCTGACCTGCAAGCCACTGCAGGCAACCAGAGACTGAGCGGAACCCGCCCAAATCGGCAGGATCCAGCGTCTCCTTGAAACGCTTCTTGTTGACCTTGCCGCTCTTCATCTCAGTGATGAACTTCTCTTGGTTGAGATGCAACTCAAACTCTCCAGTGGCAGCGTTTTGCTTCAGGGCTTAAATGTTCCCCAGTACCAAATACAAAGGAGCAGAAAAGGTTCCAGCCAGCTTCATGATGCCATCTTGAGGAGGAAGAAGGTAGAGAGGTTCATGGCGTTCTTCAGGGCTCCCTTGAAGTCGAACTCCATTGCAGTTTGCCTGATGCCAAGGAGGATCTGCTTGATCATCTCGTCGGGGTAGTGTTGCGATAGAGTTGTCTCTTTTCCTTCAAGTGTCTGGACTCAAACGGCGAGACAGCCGAGCCAAAACGTGAGGACAGCTGGGAACTTGAAAGTCTTTCTGATCATCTGGCCCTTGGAATTGGTGGCGCCGTATGCACCAGAATGGCAAACTTAAAAACTCACGCCAGGCAACTTCGTCAGCTTGAGGATCAACGGTTCCAACCACAGTCGGCAAGTAACCGGACTTTCCAAAAGAAAGAAACACACCATTTGACGACCTGTCTGAGGAGCCGTCTTGCCTTGACTCTACGCATCAAGAGAAGAACCTTGCGCCGAATGTAGTTGACATTGTCCTGCAACAGGCACCAGTCCTTGCAGTCGATGCCCTGCACGAGGAACATGGGTCTGAAAGAGTCCAACAGGTGATCCACCTGGGACTGGTGCTCAGATCTGCTGAGGTCATATCCAGTGTTATAGTCAATTGGCCCCAGAGCTTTAAGTCCATAGCTCTTGGCTCGGAAGGAAAGTCCAGCCCTTCCCGCAAAGGTCTCTAACAAGTCCACTCGAGACCGATGCTTGAGCCTGTCAAGAGGTGAAGTCAAAGCTGAACATGAGGATGAAGTCAAAACCTCGTGTTCAAACTGGGCCAAGTTCACAAACTGACGCACTGAATGTCGCAAGGTCTTTCGGCCTGCATTGGTGAGCAAGGTGGTTTGCAAAGGTTGTGTCATCTTGAAAGTCGTTCTAACAGTCCATGGTGAGCTCATGTAAAATGCCCCGGAATCATGCCATCCATAGCTCATAGTCTGATTCCTGCCATCCTTATACAACATCTCAACTGTGCACTCCGGGCAAAGTTGGTGAACATGAACTGGGCATAGATCTGGCACATTGAAAAACTCTTCCAGGCAAAACAACATCTTGCGGGGAACATGATGGACACGTGTCACATCCTGTCCATCAACTTGCCACTCATCAGCTACGCAACGTCCCTCACATCCATCGGAACGTCCCATCCATGGTAACCGTCCTCCCCATTGCCCGAGTCCACTGGATAGGCTTCCGGATCGAACTCCGGCAGGTGAACCATCTGGGTCTGGGCAGGCGGTCTCGCCATCGCTTTCGAGGCAGTGGCCCTCGATGAAGTCTTGCCCTTGCCTTTCACCGGAGCGTCCATGATCGGCAGGATGTTGGAAGATGAGGGAGGTGGGAAGGCACCCATCCTTCGCGACTTGGATCCCACTTGTACCTCTGTCGCATCTGAGGCATCTGCTGAAGGATCCCTTGTTGTTGCCGTACCTGGTGAAGGACGGATGCAGGCATGTCGCTGGGTCTTCCTTGGGACGTGGGGCCATCTCGTCTTGCTGTCGTTCTAGTTCTCTCTGATGCTCCCACATTGACATCCAGCTTCTCGGCATCATACCAAACTTCACCAGTCTCGACATCGCCTTGAAGGCCTTGATCTGGAGCATCATCAGCCGCAGCACCACGGTCTCCCATCAGAACGAAGCCTCTGATCGGGCAGGTCGGAGCATCATCCAAGGAAGTCAGGGCCGCGGTGGCTGATCACGAATTGAGCCTTTGTTGATTGCGCCGGGCGCACGGATCAGCTCAGGGTCAGGATCTTTCCAAATTTCTGACTTTGGCAACTGTTTCCAACATCCATGTGTGGCAACCCCATCCATGAAATGCACAATACTGACTGCAAGGTGTCCATGTCGTTGAGTCAAAGGCATGGACAAACCCAAAGGTAAAGGTGAGAGTCTTCGTGCGCATGTATCCCAAACGTTCCAGCGAAGTGCGACTTGCCAAAAAAGGAATGCCAGTTCTCAAAACGCTTGCAGCAAAACCCATTCCTTGTGTCTCCTGGCCTGCAAAGGCTGCCGGGAAGTAGGCTCGCTGCTGCAACTCCACAGGACGTCCTGAGCCGAATTGAAATTGGTCAGTGCAATCGTGAAGTTTCACCCGGAGACCATGACGCTGGAGGATCTTGGAGTGAATCTTCAGCCATGGTTCTCCGCAACATGAGCGTTGACATGCTGTGTCTAAAACCATGAAACCACCCAAATCAACAGCTTCTGTCACCCAAGTTGTAGAAAGTTCTGTGCCAAGTACATGCGCGGTGGTGAAGGTGAAATCGCTAGAGGCACTTTGGGGTTCCATGTCATGTGGGTCATGTTCATCATGTTGTGGATCTTCATGTGAAAATCCAACCACGTAGGTCTTCTTGATGTTCTTTCCCCCAAAACTGCCAGCTTTCGTGGTAGATGAACTCTGGCCATCAGATTGATGCCCTTTTCCATCTTTCTTGCCGCCACGCTCTGAAGACATTGGACAGCCATTGTCACCAGCCCAATGACCGATCTGGCCGCAGGCCCTGCAAGAACTAGTCTTCTTGCGCTCCTCAATGCTACGTCTTCCAGAAAACGTTCGACCCAACACTGAGGCCTGCAACTTCTTTGACGTGACAGTCAAAACTTGGGCGGTCTCTGCAAGATCTTCAGGACTCAAAGCTGCTTCTTCTTCTTCTTCGTCATCACCGTTCTCCTCAGCATCTTCCTCGGCAATGGGCTCTAATTCGGTCCCATCATGTTCAACTTCAGCTGCATCCTCAAATTCGGCGTCTGCCGACTCATCACCATCAACATGTTCCGTTTGGAAAGCTCTTCGGGGGCCACCTTTCCCCTTTGAGGAAGCTTGACTAGAAAAGCTAGAAGAGGATCTCAGGGAGGACGCCTATAGAGCTAACTGAGGACCCCGTTGAACTAGATGCTGAAGAACCCTTGTTGCTGTTGCCCTTTCTACTGTTATTCCAGTTATTGCCAGGGAAAAACAAAGGAGGGCTAGGCTTGAAGTCGGGAAACTGGAGGCAAAAGCTCTCGTAGATCTGATCGTAGTGCAAGCTGTTGCCAGCACCAATGAGAACCAAACGTTGAAGGTCCGGAGACAAAAGGCAGCGCTCAAGCACTCGATTTCCTCGAGATTCCGCATCATACATTGCTGATGATTGAATGCCAACATCCTCCAGGTCACGCTCAATGCGCCTATATCTATTCATATTCTGCCGAACAGTCTCCTGACCAGTGCACTTCACAGTCTCAAAGTCGCTCAGCAGCTTGCGCTTCTGAAACTAGACACGTTGTTGGAGAGGTCCACGCAACTTGTTCAGGATGTACTGCACTCCATCCTTGTCATTGACACGCTTCAAATCAAAGCGTTCCGCCTCAGACCCGGCCCCGCCCTGTAGCGAGATATACAAGGCCAACCCCATCTCGCTGGATGTCATGTAGTTCTGATTGCAGTACCCAAGCCTGCACCTTGCCCTCAAACTTGCTGAAAGCTCTCAAGTCATTCTGTTGGTACTGCCATGTGGGAGGCGTCGGAGCTGTCCGTCCCCCCACGCCATCGCATTCCAGGAGCACGGCCACGGGCACTTGTCCAAGAGGACTCACTTCCATCGTACCTCTTCTTCTGATCACTCAACAGCTGCTTCATCACATTCAACAATTCTGCATTGCCATCACCTTGAAGCTGAGCATTGGAATCCGGTGAGCCTCGAAGTCCATCAGGTGGTGCATGAACCGGACCATGAGAAGCACTGGAGCTTCCACGACGTCGTCGTCGCGGTCCGAACTTCTCAGGATCGACAATTGGATCTGCCGTGGGCGCCTCACTTTCAGCACGCTCCGAGAAACTCCCGGAGCTACACACATCGGGAAATCCTCTACGAGTAGCTGCAAGGCTTTTAGAAGGTGAATGTTCAACCGAACCATGAGCATCAGAACCATGTGGGGATTCACCATCAGCTGACATAGAACTGGTTCTGTGGGGAACATCCATGTTCCAGTGGCAGTTTCTAACTTAGCAGGCTCGCCAGAATTCAAAAACTCGGTGCCACCACATGAAATGCAGTAATACGACCCATCAGCGTCTACAGTCCAGTCATCAGCTCTGAAGCGCAAGCAACACCATTGGGCTCGTCGGCAAGCATCAGGACCCTTAGGATCTACTTCAGCCGAACCATCGACACTCGGTAACCATCTCCTCTCTTCTGCAGCGATCTCTGAAGATGTCCAGCTGAACTCAGAAACATCGTCAGCGAAGGGGTCGAAGTCCGGCATGCCATGGCTCCGCTGCCAACTGACCATAGTGCTTGCAGCACACACTAGGTCGCACCAAATCGCAATGATCAAATGGTGCAAGGGGCAACAGGCAGCATCCTGTTTTGCAAATCTCGCTTGAACTCAAGCGGCCACTGATGTCTGGCGTTCAGCGGCTGCAGTGACGCATGGAGGAAACATCTGATCATGTGCTATTACAAGCAGGATTCATTTGAAAATTCACAATGTATACGTATATGTATACGATTGTATACGTATATGTATACGTATATGTATACGTATATATGTATGTGTGTATGCGTATAATTGTGGTGAATGATGGTGAATGTGTGCATAAATTGTGTGTGTGTTTGTACGGGTCGTATATTGTTCGCCGCAAAGCCGCCACGAGGCTCAAATATGATTATATAAAATAAAATAGTAACTGGAAGACCCTTTGCTGCAAGTTGTTCGTGCCTGACATTTGCAGTCTTGGCTCGAGTTTGAGCCTGTCTGCACTGTGGATCTTTGTGCCCCACATCTGGTACAAACGGCATTGGCAATGTCGGCCTGCCACGCACAAACAAGCGCGTCACTCTGAGTGAAAAAGTTGGGGCAATGTCAATGCGGCTGGAAGCAAAAAAACGTGGGCAGCTGCTCTCCTGTATCCGTACCTCATCGTACCTCCAAACCTACAGTAGATACAATGAATATACAATGAGTGGCTAGGAGTAGCTCAGCATAGCTCAGCATCTCTGCACGGCGGCCTTGTATTCACCTTTGAGGCATGCAGTGCAAAAGTCGCTGGTCGGATCATATCCATAACCAGGACTGCACTGGCAGTCAGCCGCACTCTGGACTGGAAAACCTGCGGTTGTTCAGATGCAAAAACTGAAACAATGCCTTTCAATTGACGATTTATTGAATTTATTGTGTATTCTGGCTTCACTGGATCTGGTTCTTCAATTTAAACTGCAAGGCCTGGAGGTATTGAGCGATGTCGAGCACAAGTGACCGTCACATACTTGGTCTCCGGTGCAGAAGTCATGTTCAGCTGAATGCCGGCGCTGGACAATGTCCTCACGGCGACAGGGGTGAACAAACGACGCTGCGCGCATCCCGGGACCAATCAAGTGCCATGGCTGCAGAACAAGTGACGGATTGGATTGCACTGCACCAGCGATTTCATTGTTCAACGTTTGAACCTGCCAACATGCCGCACAACATGAAGAATGAAAAACTTGAAGAATCACCATTCTTAATAGGTAAATAGTGGTTTAAATATATACATATATATATATATGTATGTATGTATGTATGCATGCATGCATGCATGCATGCATGCATGCATGCATGCATGCATGGATGGATGTATGGATGTATGTATGTATGTATGTATGTATATGTATGTATGTATGTATGTATGTATGTATGTATGTATGTATGTATGTATGTATGTATGTATGTATGTATGTATGTATGTATGTATGTATGTATGTATGTATGTATGTATGTATGTATGTATGTATGTATGTATGTATGTATGTATGTATGTATGTATGTATGTATGTATGTATGTATGTATGTATGTATGTATGTATGTATGTATGTATGTATGTATGTAATGTATGTATGTGATTTTGTTTGTCTTGTTTGTTTGTTTTTGTTTGTTTGTTTTGTTTGTTTGTTTATATATATGTATGTATTATTTATATTATATATATATATAAACGAACCATTTTCCATAGCTATGCTAAATGATATGGCTTTTTCAGAAGCCAGGAAACTGACAAGTCCGCAGCAGTTGTCTGCGCTTCGGCATCGGATCGCGTGTTGATGGTAATGACGATGTCTGACAGATCAAAGAGCCGCCGAGACTCAAAAATATCCGGTGCCAAATCTCCAAGCCGTCGGCCGAAAAGATTTCCAAAGTCCTCGGGCAAAAAAAAAAAAGGCTATACCGTATCAACCTGCCGCGGTCAAAAAAAAAAGGGCAAACGCCACAATCATGGGTAGTCGATGGTAGTCATACAGAGTCATACATATCATATCATGTCATGTCATGCCATATCATATCGTTACATAACCAAAGTCCTTGATTAGGCTCAGAAATTTGCACATCTTTTGTTAGGAGACATGTGTGCTTTTTCATGGTCGGCGACCACCAGCAGGACCATCAAATGTGCAGGCAGATCCCTTTTGTTGCTTCTGGGATGTCTTTTTTTGGATCAATCAGCTCACCATATACTTTGGGGGTGCAGTTGCAACATGTTGCAATTATAAGTGGATGTTGTTGATCATAGTTATGGCTTATATCCCAACTTATTAGTGCTTAGAATCCCACGGTTATATCAAAAGTCACTGGCCCGCACCAATGCTAGCTCACTGTGGCTTTCGGGGACAAGACGCAATTTCAATGGCCGAAGGATCGACTCCGGTGGAGGCAGCCAAACTTGTCAGGAACATGTCCTTGGCGCACAAGGAGCAGGAGCGAAAGAGAGCGCCTTCCCATTTACGAGATGTAAGATACGTGCATCTATATACATATATACACAGCGTATATATATATATGTGTGTGTGTGTATATACATTTATATTTATAATTATTTATTCATTTATTTATTTAGTTAGTTAGTTATTATTTAGCTATTTAGTTAGTTAGTTGTTCATTCAATGTATTTTTTATTTACATATTTAATGTATACATCTATTTATTTACTTATTTATTTACATATTGTTTATATATACCTACATATACTTAAAATGTGTATATTATATATGCATATATACGCGTATAAAGTGTACGTGATGTTTATTTGTAATTATGTATTTTAGTAATTTATATTTATATATATATATGTGTGTGTGTGCACAGTACATTTGTCGTGTGCACGTCGGAATAAATGCACACTTTAAATCCCATTTAACGAACGCTGCCAAGCTGCAATGAGCTGTGCGCGAAGTGTCTCTGGATCTTCAGTGGCTGGAATTTGTCCAATTGAAAAGCTGAAAGAAATTGCCGGGACTGTTGCTGAGCTCTGCAAATCCCCACTGCCACTGCCACTGCCCGCTACAGGCGTCTCTTCATAACAAGAAGAGTTTGAAATTGCACCAACTGCATAAGTTGTATAATTTTCTGGGCACACAATGCACTGCCCGTCGTTGCCTTCGAAATCCTTATAGGACCCAACGGCACAAGCCGTGCAGCCATCCGCTCCACTGGGTTCGAAGCCCTTCGCACAAATACACGCGTCCCTGGAAGCCTCGGAGTTCAAATTCAGACTCTCAGACTGGTTAAGATCGGGATTCCCAGGCTGGTTCATGGTATATACTCCTCAATAAACCAAGTGAGTACATCCCACCATCCACAACCCCCTGTGATTATCAACAGTGGGTGATAACAGCTGAGGAAGTCAGATTTGCGCAAAGAATTCCGCGCAATAGTCCGACCTCATGCACGCATAGTTGATCTTGTTTTTTTACACACGATGGTGAAACTAGACCTGTGCGGCCCATGGCCCATGGTCCTTTTCAAGTTTGCACCTACTGTGAACTGCCTTGATTTTGAAGTGTGTGTGTGTGTGAACCATCTGAATAGATGTAAAACTTCTACTTCCGTTTTTGAATTTACTTCCGATTTCACTTGTTCTTTACAAGCAGGGGGGTGCGGCATGATTGTGGGACCGCACTCAACGAAGCTACCACAATCATGGGATACTGGGTCTGATCAACCCAGCGTACCTGCCATTTCAATCTCTATTTTTCGTCAATGGCAACCGGCTAAGCCAAGAACCGGCATGTCGAACAATTGGTTTCTGCTTTTCCTTTTTCCACGGCACAGCTGTCGCAATCTTTGAAGAGAGGTAACGACTTGGTTCAAATGGATAAGTTGCTGTTAGCAAGGACATTGAAAGAATTCCTTCGCACTGTTTCTCACCTCTGGTCACAACCAATTCCTGTCAGGTTTTATTGGAGTGTTTTTTGCACGTAAGATGCATTCCACATCAGAATTCGTAATGACTGTTCTGAGCAAGTGTGTGATTCATGCTGGATTCGTCAAGGTGGCATGAACCCTTCGGGGGATGTTTTTCTAAGCAGAATGTGGATGCAACGACCCGATGTCTGAATTAACACATTTTAATTTAGCAATTCGTTTAAGTAAAGTGAAACAGACGTTCACCTTTCAGGTTTCACTCTGTCGGTCGTCTTTTGGTTAAACAGTCTGCCGCTGTGACTGGCCTCACCATTTTTGTCTGACTTCAAAGGGTTTGTAGCCTTCAGCCGCGACAACCTTCTTTTTTCATATTGCTCGAGCATTTTCAGATGTCGACAATTGCAACATGAGGATTCCAGGCACAGGACATGCTTGCAGGTATTGTGACTCTTCAATTGCTTGCAATAGTCCAACCTCATGCACACATAGTTGATCTTGTTTTTTTCCACACGATGGTGAAACTAGACCTGTGCGGCCCATGGCCCATGGTCCTTTTCAAGTTTGCACCTACTGTCAACTGCCTTGATTTTGATGGATTTTGAAATGTGTGTGTGTGTGTTTGCTCAAGCATCGCCCCAATGCACAATGCTGTAGCAGAAAATTATTGCAACGGAACAGGATGCAGGTACCGATTGCGGGTCATCCCAGGAATGGATGGATTTTTGAAAAAGTGTCTGCGTCACCACCAACCAGCAACCAATCTTGTGACACAAGTGGAACATACCCTTATACTAAACAGAATCATTGTTATCCATTGTCATTGTTCTATACTTAGGCATGTATGGATCCTGGACCCTCAATGATTCAAACAGATTCAAACGTACCTGAAATCTGCGTCCATTTGAACTTCGCAACTTAAAATATCTTAAAATCATTGCAAACTGCATGCCGAAGCGTACTCTTTGACAAAAACATGCCGAAATACACACAATGGCACTTCTGTGGATGGTCGGGCAGACTCCACGTCGAACCCCAAGAATGTGCTACAAAGGAAGGTCCTCGACTACATTTACTAATGATTAATGGATCTATGACATGACATGTGACAAAATATGCCCCCCACATGCACCTGTTTGAAGCGCTGATTGGGATGTGCTCTCTCTCTCTCTCTCTCTTTCTGTCTCTGCAAGATATAGAGGAGTGATGACGAGTGAGGTGTCAAGGCATAGTGAGATACCAATACTTGCCAATCGTAGATCTCTCAACAGAATACCACATATCTCATACATATCTCATATGGAATGCTACAAATATCCTAAATAGATGCACTGAAACATCGGATCTATCTTCGGATCTATATACCTTCGGATCCGTTCTTTTGTTCTTTTACGGAACATTGTCATGTCGTGTCAAGTAGCTGATCCCTTGGACAGAGTCGTTTCACCATTGGCACAGGGAATCCTTGAAGCCCACTGAGGTCGTCCCCCAGCACAGTAATATCCTCGAGAGCACAGCTCACATTTCAGGCCTGCGCGCCGGGCCGCAGGGCCGCAGGGCATGTGGAGCTTCAAAAATCGTGAGATTTCAAAGGAGAACAGCCAACCCCTGAGTATTGAATCAGATTGAAAATCTATTCATCTATTGTGTCTGCTAATTGAGAGCCTTATTGGCAGTATTTCGTTCTTGGATGGGTCTGATCGTTAAAAAATTCAGACTCGGCCTTTGACTGCTTTTTGATGGTTTTTGCGGCGTCAGCAATCTTGAAACTTGAAATAACTTGAATACTCTTAGAGCCTGGAAAATGATTTCAGAAAAAAGTGCTGAAACTTAGGTTCTTCCCTGCGCTGTTAAACCAAGTACCCTCCGGTAATTTAACACGGCTATGGAAAATTACCCATTTATAGATGATTTACATACATCATATCAAAAAACGGTGAATTTTCGGACAAGACAAACTGATCACCCAGCCTGATATCGGTCCTGTTGCAAAGCTCCCTGCAGGACAATTCGCTTGCAGAGTCCCACCTGGTGCACGAAACAGCGCCGTGGACGAGCAGTCCGCAGTCTGCGGGCACCAACAAAGTTGGTAGGTGCCAGGCCTGGGGCCGGTGGCATTGGGGTCACCACCAATGGTGATCATGGGCATCTCAAAAATCTCAAAATCTATGGGGGATATATTTATCCTCCGCAAGAAAGAAATAAATATCACACACACATATATATATATAATTATATATATGGTTTGTGGTTTCAATCCCTCTGAAAATATTAATATATTATGGGGAAAATAAAAATGTTCCAAACCACCAAGCAGTATATATAATCTCTCTCTCTCTGTGTTTTTGTCCCCCAATAGTAGTGGCTGAAGCGTTATGGAGGGAAAATTAAACCGACTCAGCGAATCAAAGAAGCAATGCTGTGAATGGGAGGATGCCCAAATTCACCGTCAGGCCATCTGCACCTTCCTCCACCACAATGGGATTCTGCAAGTCTGGGAAGCCTTTCTGTTCGACCCCCACAGCAGTGCCACAAGTTCCATCTGCGACCCAGAGCAGGTCTCCAGCCGTCAAGCCAACTCCCGACAAACTCACCGCACAGGCACTCCCCAAATCACAAATGGTTGATCGCGCAAAGGGCCCACTTGCCGTCATAAGCCCAACTCTTGCCGTAAAGCCAGTGGATGAGTCGCATGCTTCAATGCCTGTAAAGGGCCTACAAAAGCAAATGCGGAAAATACCTGGAACTGAAAGCAGGATTTTCTCGCCGTCACCAGCGAAAGCAAAGTTGGTTCCATCGCTGGAATCCAGGATGCCTTGGGCTGGAAATCCAGGAATCGAGGCGCCCCGACCACAATCAGATAGAATCATCAATCGGTCGCTTGGAACCATGCTGGCACCTAGCACGCCAGCAATGTCACAGGCTTGTCCCACTGCACATCCTTTTTCTTGGTTTGCAGTGGGGCCAAGAATGCTCAGGCGTCCAGCATAGACAACATAATCAGTGGGATTCCCACACGCAGTGGAGGAGCCCCTGCTGCCACACCAACAGAGTAAATAGCCGGCTTGGTTGGCATCAATCTGGACATGGAAGTCGTTGTCTGCATCGGTCCTGCCAAAGCTCAAGATCAAATTCGCGAAGCTATCTGCTGCACTGGCCGATTGAAACGACCCGGTTCCTTCTGGATTGGCAACAGAGATCTCAACTGCTGAAGCTGCTCCACAAGAATCGCGTTGGATCCTTACGTGGTCCTGCGTCATGAGACCATAGCCAGAAAATGGTTGCAAGTCAAGACAGTCCCGACCACGAACACAAGTAAAGGTATTCTCGATGGGGCCAACAATCAAGAGTGTTCCAGCAGAGAGCCAAAAGTTGGAATTCAGCCCTTCACAAGTAAGGTCTCCTATGTTTGCACACCAGCATAGATTTGTAAACCCACCCTGCGGAATGAAATCAGCAGAGCTGTCTCCCCACACATATCGACTGCCAGTATCCGTAGCAAGCTTGGAGATCCCATCGTTTGCAATACCTGTTACAGGCGGTTTAGCTGAAGCACAGTCAGAGGTGGTGATTGCGAGGCGGTGTCCGTCCTGCAATCTTGATCCTGTCACACCTTCAACGATGCAGATGTATCCTGAGGTGCAGCTACGAGTTTCGGCAGAATGTGGTTGGACACACATGCTCTCGTTGGCAGCACCGTCAAGCACCGTGGTGGAGCCAGTCACACATGCAACACAGCCTGTAGCCACTGAAAGTCCTGTGACATTGCTCCATTTGCCCACTGGACACGGCAAGCACGCATCAGAGGACGTTGCTGCAGTGCCCTCCAAATACCGTCCTGGTGAGCAAAGCTCGCAGTTGGCCAGTCCTCCTGTTGAATAGCTTCCTGCCTGACAAATGTCGCACTGACTCTGACCCAACCCCGAAAAATTTCCAGCAGCACACGGCGTACAATCGCTATTTGAGTTCTCCGCCTTGAATCGGCCCGGGTCGCAAGATCTGCAACTGCCAAGGTCACTGAAAGTCCCTGCTACACAAATGCACTCATCTGCGCTTACCGCGTTCATCCCTGCAGTAGTTTGAGCAAGGTCGCAAGGCTCTCGGTGCGTTCCTCCAGGGCAGTAGAACCCAGTGCCGCAGGCTTCGCAGACTGAAGGCACTGTCGGATTCACTGTCACAAAACCAGCAGAGCATGTGCAAGCAGCATGTGAAATGGCACCCTCAGACAGGGTTGTCAATGTGACGGGTCCTGGTGGACATGATGTGCACTGAGAATCCGCAACGGCTGATTTGTACTTCCCAGCAGGGCACTTAACACAACCTGATGCGCGGCCAGTGCTTCCAGTCTCACTTGGCTGCATCCCATGAGGGCAGCGGCAATTGGAGATGCCTGAAATCATGGCACCAGATGAAAATGCTAAACCAGTTGGGCACTGAAGCACAGACGTTCTGATGGGAGTAGGGGACAGCGCCACAGCTCCACCAAGAGCCGTTCCTTTCATCTTTACGTAAACCCAAGCTGCAAAGACATCTGGATCAAACTTTTCACGAACAGCCTCCGCGACTGCCGCTTCCGAAGTGTTGAAAACGTACTGGACATACCAATTGCCCCAACGGAAGCCGGCCCAAAACACCGCTGATGCCCTGGAAACTGTGTTCAGTCCTATGTCAGAGACTATGGACGCCCTAATCTCTTGCAGCAATGCTTGAGTTGAAGCATCGTTGACCTGAATAGTTCCCTGAAATGAAAAGACCGTGGCTTCAGCTGATGCCAACAGTGTGCTACCACTGAAGCTGGCTGACATCTCCGTCAAGTCGGTGCAGGTGAAGTTCTCTGCGAGAGGATCTGTGTCAATGGCGTCCCCAACACAACTGCACTCCCTGATGCTAATCGCCCCCGATGGCGATGTGGTCCCTTCAGGGCAGGTTCCATCACAAGCATGAAGAGATCCAACCACATCCTTAAATGAGCCCGCAGGACATGCTGTGCACAAGTTGAGCGTGGCATCCCAGTAGTAGCCCTCTCTGCACTCGCAAGCGTCCGAGCTGGTCGAGTTGGCGGCTGAGGTGCTGCCAGATGGGCAGCCACTCAAAGCTGCGGGCCATCCACCTGGACAGTAGGAGCCCACTGGACAAGGATGGCAGCTGCTGCCCGAGCCCGTCAAGTCGTACCAGCCAGGGGCACATGCTGTGAAGAGCGTCACAGCCACCGCTGCAATATAGTGCCAGTCTTCAGTGCAGTCAAAAAGGGAAGAAATTCCACACCAGCACATCTGGATTCGCTCAGGCCAACCAGCCTCAGGAAGTTCTCCAAGCTCGAGCTTGTAGCCACCAGTTGCTGCATCCGCCAGAAGTTGAAACGAAGGTGGTGGCCACCCAAAGGTCTGCGAGGCAACAAACCCTGAGCAAGAGACCATTGGGACCACCGTGTCAGTCACCGACAGGCCAACACCACGGATGCCCCCGATGGTGCAGGGTCCTTGTCCGCGAATGCACGTATGAAACTGGCTGGAATAAGCACCAACAACAAGAAACAGGCCAGCTACAACGTTGAAGTCGCTAGATTTCTCACAGTCAATATTGTGGTCAAGGTCTTTCCTGCACCAGCACATCCTATACATTCCGGGCTCCGCCGTTAAGAATCCATCGCCAACAAAGTGGTATGTCTTGTTGTCCTCCCCAAAGGTGTTCATGTACGTTAGAGGCAAGCCATCGATGAAGTCCGAAGATCCACAGGCTGGCATGAAGGAGACTCTGTCGTCCGCTTCAAGCAATGTCCCACCGTTCAAAAGATACACAAAACCTCAAATGATGAGCCAACGTTGGAAGGCAACTACCAAAGTTGAAAAGTTGGAACCCTGTCTGCGGTGCGTCCCCCCCCCAACCAACAAAAAAGAAAAGGTGTGCCTTTGGCCAGGCGAGGTACAGGGCTGTCCTGCATAGCAGGTGTTGAATTCTGCACCTTTTGGGCCGGCAATGTTGAGGGTCCCGAAGCCAATTTCCAGGTACGTGGAGTAATTCGACGCGTGCATCTCGGAACAGGCCTGGGAGCCCTTTGAGGAGCACCAGCACAGAGCATAAGGTCCTGGTTGCCTCTGCACCACTCCAGTTAGGCTTAAAAGGAACTCCACTCCACTGCCGGAGCTCTGCGTTGTGATGTCCATCTTCAGTCCTAACTCCGCAGCCCCATCTGCTGTACAGGTAGTCCGGACATAGATCTCATCGTTGGCAAGAAGACCCACACCCAAAATTGGACCGACATTGCGACACAGCCTTCCATTGACGCAGGCAACTGTCTGACTTGCTAAGGGACCTAGGACGGCCAAGGAACCCACGGTCACTTGGAAATCATATGCCCACGTACAAGTACTACCAACACCGCCACACCAACAGAGCGGATATATACCTGCAGAAACTGCAGTCCGACCGTCCCATGCGAAATCTGTAGATCCTTCACTTGAAAGCCCATAGCCACTAGTGCTCAACGCAGAAGCAGAGCTTGAAGAGCCATATGATCCATATGATCCATATGATCCATAAAGTCCATAAAGCCCATAAGGTCCATACATTCCCATTGTCATGCCGTAATAGTAAGACTCCCCATAACCAAAGGCGCCGTAGGACATAGTGAAATTCTCACAGCTTCCTTCCAACACCATCAGCCGACTTGTATTCACATCTTCAGAACCTTGGAAGCCTGATATTTTACATGTCTTTCCCTGGGGGCACTCAAAAGCCTGATCGGCTTGAGGTACGACACATGCCTGGACGTTTGTTGACCCAGTTTGCAGTGTGGTCAGACCCACGCAGGCAAAACACTCTGTCAACCCAGTCTGAGAGGAGTAGCGCCCGATCGGGCAGGGTTCACATGAGCTTGTGGGATAGTAATCCCAATAATTTGCATAGGTCTCCGAGTAGTACTTTCCAACGTCGCAATCAACACAGCTTTTGATGGTTGTGCCAACAGCCAGCGATCCGGGCTGGCAGGGGGTGCAATCCGTGCTGTTCGCATTCACCACAAAGGAGCAGTCCCAACACGAGCTTCCTCCGGAATACGGATAGTATTTGCCTGACTCGCACTGTGCGCAGTCACTGTAATCTACAAGGCTATACCTGCCGGCCTCACACTGAGTGCATGCTTCACTGGCATTTGTGGATGACTCACCCCAATGGCAGTCCCAGCAAGAGTGGTCGAACTGGCCCTTATACTTTCCGGCAGCACAGGGCGAGCATGCTGTTGAGGCGTAGTTGGCCTCGTATCCGACTGGACAGTTTTCACAACTCGTCGCTCCAGCTGCAGAGATGGTTCCCCATCCACAATACCAGCAAAACTGTGACTCGGAGCTGTCTGAATACGTTCCTGCGGCACAATCAGAACATTCAGAGGCTTCCTGATCCGCAAACTTGCCTGCAGGACACGCTGTGCACTCAGAACTGCCCGCTGCTGCGGCAGTTCCTGACCAGCAACCGTAGCACTCCGTGCTGGCTTCGAAGCTGTAGCGCCCGCCAGGGCAATTAAAGCAGGTTTCATTCTGGTAGTACTTGCCAGCAGGACAGTTTACACAGGCTGAGGCGCCCGCAAATGAGACAGTGCCTGTGTAACAAGTGTAGCACATTGTGGAGTCATCACTGTATTTGCCAGCTGGGCATTCTTCGCAAGTCGTGAAATCTGTAGATGGTATAGAACCAAGCTGGCAGGTTTGGCAACTGATCGTCCCAGTAAATGGTGCTATCCCGTCAGTGCATGCGTCGCATTGCACACTCCCTGGGTAGTTTGCAAAGGTGCCAGATGCGCATTCTGTGCACGCAGTGGCTCCAATCGCATTGGATGCACGCCCCTGCGGGCAAGCTTCACAATATTGGACATGCACATGAAGTTTCCAGTTCACACCATTATCGGCCAAGTAGGTTCCTGCTGGGCAATCAGCACACTCAGTCAGGCCAGCGGTATCTGCATATTTTCCAGCAGGACAAACTAAACAAGCTGAACCGGCTGTCTCATAGTAGCCTTCAGAACCTGAGCTGCTCTCAGCGACGCGCAGTCTGGCACAGTAAACCAAAGGTGTTCTCTCTCCATGGCTTGGTCAGAAAATCTAGGGGGGAAACCGGGAAAAACCGGGAAACCATGGGAAACCCGTAGATACCCGTAGCATCCAGTGGTTTATCATAATCTTCTCCATGGAAATCGCCGAGTTTTGACCATATCTTGATGGGTAATCCCCGGGCGGTTCACTAAGATCCTCACACTGGCAGTACCTTGGAGGCTGGGCAGCGGGAGAATCAACCGCGAGCGATCCCCAAGATCATGATAGGATTTAATGAAGAAAATATACCATCTGGTTATTTAATATAGCCATGGAAAATCCCTAATAAATGGAGGTTTTAATGGGAAAATCATCTATAAATGGGCCATTTCCATGGCTATGTTAAATAACCAGAGGGTAAGCAAATATTAGAAGTCATGAGATGATGATAATGCTAGTGTTTAATATAGAAATATACTACAGGTAATACATGATAATACTAAATAACCGATGCTGTCTATTAATTAGATATCTATATCATTATGTAGCTTCTCTATAGGTGATTCTATATATGGCAGAGCTGTACTGGGAAGGTGGTAATCATTCACATCAGTGCACGTCAAGCTCCCAGCTGAGATCACTACTTAAGGTCACTGCTTTCAATATCATACATAGATATAACATATTATATGAAACTATATCTATACATGTGTATATATATATATATATATATCAAAATGATATGGACAACTTGGTAGCCATAGAACTAGACCCAACATCTCTCTCTCTCTCTCTCGTTCTCCCTCTGTGATTCCTTTGCGGACAAAGTGCACCGGCGGAAGATGAACGCACAGCAAAGCTAAGGCGAGCCACATGGATCAAATTGCACGCTATCATCCATGAAAGTGCGTCAGTCAACTCGTCAAATCGACTCCTTCTACCTGACCCCTCTCAGTCAAGTCAGAGACTGCATAATAGTTTGAGTGTAGAGAATGACTGCAAAACGACCATCACACCGAGATGTCTTATTCGGGTTATAAAGAATGCCCAAGGTGGACCAGGTGAAGCGTGGCAATGGTGGAAACGTGGCTGCCTCACTGTTTATGTTTTTGCACCAGTGGTACCTTGAGCACTTCAAAGCATCAATCTATGGCTTGGTTGAAACATCAACACAAATTCAATGGATTTTCAAGCTTTTATCTCCACTGTCCCTTCTTCCTTCCTCATCTTCCTCAACTGTTTAGAGGTAGTGTAGTTAGTAGCGCACCAGCAACACTCATCGCCGCGACCTGTTTGTACGGAGCGATGAGGCTGTGAAACTTGGCGTTGCATGACCGCAGCACTCACCGCAAGCTACGTGAAGGCGTCTGCTCCGGAAAATCGGTGAGGCATCAGTGCTTGAAAATGGAACAGCCACGTCAGCCAAGCAGGCCAAACAGCTCAAATTGATGGTAAGATAGCTGTCTACATCATGCCCACACCAGCATGCGCAAATGTGTCGCATCTGGGGGCCGTAAACTCTAAACATCCTAAACAAGTGCGTTTTGGGTGAGACACTGTGGATCAAACCCGCGTCACTTGGCCCACTTCTTCTGGGGCCTCCCATTGCTTTCATGCACATCACAATCTGTTAGATCCGTCTGGATTCTTGTGGGGTTCCTATGTTTCTTGTGCCTTCCTGCAGATTCTTGGCCTCCCAATTTGCTTAGAAATCTCCTGAATTGCCAAAACATCCCAAAACCATTCAGAATAATTACCAGCGGGCAGCCACTGCCTGCTCCAATAGGGCCTCTTCTGGTGATGGCAGCGCCTGGGGCTCACCTGTGTTTTGCAGAACGTAAAGCGAAGTTCTGTCCAACATCCTCCCAATTGCTCACGAATTGCTGAGCGTTTTTGGGGCAATATGTCTTGTTTCTGCAGCAACCCATGCCCAAAAAAAAACATATCCTTGCAACTTGCAATGACACTGTTGGTTGTCTGAGTTCAGAAGTGGCCAAAACTCTGCAACTCGCGCAGGTCTGAAGGAAAATAGGGTACTCGTACATCCATTTTTTTGCGTAAATCCATTGGTTAATCATAATTGTCTCGTTAAAATCACACGCAAAAATGCCTTTGCTAGGTTGCTCCGAGATGCCAGCTTGACCTCCTAGACGCAAATCATCTTCCAGGAGTTTGCCCTTTGGGATGCTTAACTCTTTCATTGCGGCTGACTTCACCCGTGTTTGCACCGCCTTACACGTTGGAATGCGTCGGAATGTGCTCCAGGATCCGGAGATGTTTGATGGAGAAAATCGTGCACCTGTGGTGATCTATCCCGTTATTTACAGGGTTTCAACCATCCAAGGTGGTGCAGGATATCTTCCAGCCACAGTATGTCATGATATATTTCCCACTCTGCAGGGAACAGAAACCGCTACGCATTTAAATATACGGATCTTTAATATACGAACCGGTATTTAGACTACCTCAGAGAAGGTTTTCTTTGGCCCGCCCGGCCTTTTAAACATACGGAATCCAATTTGTGTACACATACATTTAAATATACGGATGGAACTGGTGTTTCATACTACCTCTGGGGCGTCGTGGTCTCGCCCGCCCTCCACATATTTAAATGTCGTTACCGTACGCTTGCACATGGAACACCCCAAGATACCGTGGACAGTGGAGGCCCTAGATCTTCGAGCCAAGATGCCATTTCTTTCACCTCTTTCGGCTCTCGTCGTATCTCCTTAGCATTCAGTCTTGCCCCCTCCAGTCTGACTAGAACATTGAGCCTCAAGCTCAACAAGGTCTCTCCAAGCGCTTAAAATCTTGATTGTCATTGTCTTTCTGTGGCGTCTTTTTTTGAGGTCCTTTATCCCACAAGTCAAAGTTAGAGGTGCAGCTGCAGCTGCAGGTGTCGTTTCTGCCAAGGCGCTTGAAGCTGCAAGTTGGCTGAAAGGATTTCGTTCGTTGGTGTGTCCTTTTGCTCCACGTCTTCGACGGCAAGAGCTCCTCCTGGTCCTGCAAAAATGTCTGCATCTGTTTCGTGCGAACCAAACGGCCTCGAACAATGACTTTCAGAAGGTGTCAGAAGCAATGTAAAGAAGTGATGAGAAGAAAGTTGAGATAATGCAGCAAAGTGCTGGCTATGATTTAGCAATTCAATATAACTGAGTGCCTTTACACGGAAATCAATCACACAAATTGAAGATGGGGGTAGTCCGAAAGGAGGGGTTGGTGCCCCCCGGAAGTAAAGAGCCAGTACATCGGCCTCAAAAAAACGTGGTTGAAGGGGCAGATCTGTAATTAAAGTAATTACGAAGAGCTCTATATACAGCTGGAAGTGAAAGTCATTGCAGAAGGGTCCGGGGCAACAATTTATCATGGGACACCGCGCCAAGACTAAGTCACGGCAAAATCATTGCATTTTGATGCATTTTGTCTTTTCGCAAGGTACACCGTGTTTTGAAGAAGACCTGAAAGAAACAAGCACGTGCTTTGGAAGAGGAAAATGTCCTATTGGGACACCACGGGTCAAAATGGTCAGCAAGCAAGTCAGGCAGCAGGCGAAGGCAGTAGGCCATCAAGGAAGAAGCAAGCGGGCAAGCAAGCAGCCAAATGCGTTTCCCATAGGTACGGAGACATTTGAAGGAAATCGATGCGACTAAACTAAACCGCTGAACTGTAGTTATGTTTTTTACATATTCCAAAACGCAGGAATGCTTGGGATGCCGGTTTTGCGACGACGTCTCTCAAACGGGAAAACAGCATGGTGCACAGCCACAAGCAACACGCACAAGCATCACTCCCAGGGTCAACCTCCCTTTCATCAGCCAATTTGGAGACTCAACGCGAAGCCAGCGGTTGACTTAAAAAAAACTGTATAGTGTTAGTCATAACTCATAACATGTCATAACATATTCTACAAATCCTCCCGCCTTGAACCTTCTACCATGTTTGGTCTGTACTCCGTTGTCATATTGAAACATTCTCAAGATAGCATCCAGTCTGGCAATCATATATCATCACATATGCATCAGGCACTCAACCTATATCAACCGCAATCCAATCCGACCTGTGAAACACGGCCAAAACTCTCGGAGATTCTGATGGTTCCAGCTGTCGGTTCGTCCTCTGTCACTTGGGACGCTTTCTGCGCCATTCTCGGCCGAGACTATCTCTCGAGGCGCAGCATCCTTGCAGAGGCAGCGTTGCGCTGTCCACTCTTGTTGCACTGTTGGACACTCTTGCATGTGGTTGCATGTGGTTGATAATGACTATGTAACATATGATGATGTAACATGATGTAACCAATGGAATTTAGGAAGTCCTTGAGTGCCTGTGGCGCAGCGCTCTTGGCAACCGCCATGTCGTTATGCCGTTTCTTCTCTGATTGCAGAAGTGCTCCCACCTCTTCCACCTGGACATGGTAGCCGTGTTCTTCATTGGGGTGTCATTGAAAATGGGGAATTTATGAAAATGATTTCACCCATTTAACCCCCAATGAATGGCCATTGAATGGGAAAATGAACATGATGCTAATGGTTTATCAGGTTTGTCATTTTACATCAGTAAAATGAGGCTCTGCACTGCTCGCTTCTTGGTCATGCAGCCAGGATGCAACAATCACAGCGTCTTTGGCGCCAAGCTTTTGCAAGCGCTGGGTAGCTGAAAGCATATCATCCAAAGAAATGTGCCAAGAATGGTCAGCAGTTTCCGTTTGCAGCCCACGATGAGCGCGCAGCAAACTCTCCACTTGCCGTTTCCACTTAATCCCAGTTTCAACCAAGGGTGTCTTGTGAGGAACAAGCTTGGATGTGGTTGTCAATGCGCCAAGAACTTGCAAAACGTCCACTGGAATATTTGGCTGTCCAAATTCATCCAGCCAAATTGTCGTAAATTCGGATAGAGCCTCCGGTGTGGCAATATCAGCACAAAATGAAAAAACACAAATGAGGCTTCATTGCAGCTGGTAAATCGGCAGGCACCTCAAAAAAAAATCCATTACACAATGAAGAGTCTCAAAAGAAGGAGGCTGCAAAATCAATTCAGCTCTTCGATTCTGTTTGTCCAAACGTCGTTAAACGTGGCCTTTACCATCACTTGGCGTTGTACTCCACTTCCAAAGCGCAGGACTGCCGCTCTCAGGCCTTTCAAGATGGAGACCTGATCAGCGACTCGACATCACTTCTTGGTAATCACTAAGAAGACACTATGGAGACAAGTAGTCTGACTTCTTCATCTTATTCCAAGGAACTAGTCTTTGGAGCCGTCCCGGAGATGCAGCTCCAACTTGTTTCAGCTCCGCTGCACTCACCAGACTGACCTTGTTGCTGTGGACAGACCACCTTGGTATGACTGGATGACAGCGCTGCAAAGCCGCCATAGCACTTGATCCCATTCTCAAAAATAAGTCAAACATTACCCAAAAAAAAACGTGAAAAATAGAAAAATCAGGATGACACTCTCGCGGCAGTCTCGGTTGCCCTGTTTCTGTACAGGCGAGGCTCTGCAAGAAAAATTTCTCGTCTTCGGCTTCCTGGACGATTGGTAACGCTCTTCTCACCAGGATCTTCTTTGCTTGGCCTCACCAAGAGCCAAGGATTGGTAACGGTATAACGAGCTCTCATTCCCCTACAATTGACCTAACCCAAAACTACCCTCCCAAACCATAGGTCAAAGTAGAGTAGAGAGATCCGAAACATACAGATCTGCTGTGGTTGCGGCTCCTCCGCTGACAGACTGCAACACTTGTAGAGCCTTAAGTTGCTTTAATCACATTCAGACCATCAAAATGATTCAATACACACACACACGTCATATGCATATATATATATATACATATCATATTATATATCAAGATCAAGATCATCAAGCACCTCAACACCTCCTAAAGAATCGGAGACACATATAAAGGAACACCAACTAAATTGCGACGTTCACCAGTTTCGCAAGCTAGGTCCGAGCCTACGAAACGGAGCAATGGATTCTGCTTGGCAGCAGCAGCTGCTCGCATCTTCTCCTTGTTCTGCTTGGCCTCGGGACTTCCACTGGGCTCCTCGTCTTCACTCTCTTCCATGTCTGCAGCCGAGCCCTTCAAGAATTGTGCCAAGACGTGGATGGCAAAGTATGCACAAACGCAACACAACAAAAATACCAGTACACCCGCTAATACCCAGGTGGCACTGGCTGACGGATTGAAAATCAACATGATTGCAATCATGCTGAAGAGCGTGAAACGGAAACTCAGAAGGCACATCTCAAGGAAATCCAAGATTTCAGCCTGGGTATTTGTAAAAGGCTGACACCAGGCGGAAAGTCCAAGGAAGCACCTTGAAATGATTGGAAATGTCAAAAGCTTTGCTTTCTCCTCAGTGGCTATGGATGTATATGTGACCAAGTTCATGACTCCGATATCAAAGCGCTTGACGATGATGTCCCACCACCAATATTGAGGCTCAAAGCCCTGGATAAAGAAGCCATATTTCCGGAAGTTCTCTGGACTCTGCCTGTCCTTCAACACATAAAGGCGGACGAAAAGCAAGACAGGCACCCCAATGCACCAAATCCCAAGGCCGAGACATGCAAGAAGGGCCAAGACGAAATGATCCGAACTCCAGCATACCACATCAGGGTTTGGGAGCAAGCGTTGTTTCACAATCGTAAAGCCTCGATCGTTGTCTTCAGAAATTGGAGTGCACCAAATCATCTTCAAAAAAGTTGACAGGAGCTCCGGCCACCTTGGTGAAGCTACGAGACCATCACACCCCGCGACCCGACTATGCCTATTTCATCCTATTTCACGGGTCCGGCTTGCTGGAAACTCTCAGAATTATTTTGACCAGGCCCCCATGGTCCATGCATCCAGGTGGCATAGCTAGCAAAGTAACCCAAAAGACGGGCACGCACTGAACCAACAGTTGAAATGGCCTCGGAAATGAGGTGAAGAGGCCAAAGTCCAAAGATTCCTTCGATGGCCGCGCTGCAGTAGATATGGTCTAGTAGTAGATAGCTCCCAAGGCCCAGCCCGCTTTCTGCTGAGCATCAAGATCCAATCCAACCTCTGGCGCAGCTTCGTCCTCGGCAGTGCTTGTCTTGATGATGACATCAGCCTTTCCGAAGTTTTTCCTGACACCAAAGGGGTACCATGGTGACTCCAGGATTGCTGAATTTGCATGAATTTGCCACAATGTGAGCACTCAATGAGTTTTGAGCATGTTTGATCATATTTTGATCATATTTTGACATACTTGGTCTGTCTTGGCGACCTTCATTCCACATGTTTCGCGCGAACATGTTGTATGTTAGAGTATTTTTCAGGGTTTCTATAAATGGAGGTACCCCAATAGCTGGATGGTTGATGAAAAAAAACGTATTAAAATGGATGATAACTGGGGTACCCCCCATTTTAGGAAAGCTGAATTTGCATCACGAGGTTGGACACTAGCTCTGCCTGATCGCTTCACATTCCTCCTCCACCAATTGAGAGAAGCTCCCAGCATCCGCCTGAGCCCGTTGGGGGAGATGGAGATGGCTATGGATCAAAACCTTGGCACCTTAAGGTGAACAATGGTGAACATCTAAATACATCTAAATAATCCCTCCCCCCCAAAATATGAAATACATTGAAATACCATTTCTCAGAACCCAAACTTCTCTGAATAATCTGAATAGCTGTTTTCATTTCTGCCCATTTACTTCACTCGAAGTGAGCTTCTGCATTTCGGCGGTCCACCCCGATGGAGAAAATAAGCAGTGAAACAACAGTGGAGGTCACTGGTTCAGACCCGGTGAAGAGACTCTGGTGAAAGGTATTGCCAAGCGCGACAAAAAGCAAACAACAGAAAAGAAAATGAAAAAAACAAAAAAAATATTTAAAAAAAGTAGAAACATCTACTTTCAAAATTTAAAAATAAAAATAAATAAGGAAAAAGAGAGAGAAAAAAAAAAACTCTACGAGGCACAAGCTACAAAAACACGTGATAAAAGTGAAGTTCCAACCTGCCTGTCCATTTTTTTTCATGGTTTCCTCTACTTTTTTCGTTTTTCTTTCCTTTTTCCTTTTTCAAAAGTTCACAACGCTCACCTGAGAGGGGTCCGAAACAAGCCTGAACCCAGTCTGAAACATTGGAAAACACCAGTTTCCCATGGAGCCTCCTATTTGGTCAGGTTTCCCTTCTTTTCCTTGTTCATTTATATAATTGGTGTTTTGTTTCTTCATTCCTTTCGAATCTTTCAGAACCACATCCCGGGATCCCTTTGGCCCAACGGCGACAAAAGGAACACGACACATTTAAAACCGGTACCAAATCAAACTTCAAAAATAACCAAGTGGCTGTGGAGATACCAAACTGTTGCAGAGAGAAAGCCCACACAATACCAATTCTCATATTCAATGTTCAAATATTCTTGGGTGGGGCTGAAAGCCAAGCTACGGCGGCATCTCGCAGCTCAACGGGGCTTTCATAGGCAGCAGCTACCTGAGGCTGCAAAATCATACGGCTTAAAAACCGGGCTTCCCAGCTCATGGATTATGAGAATCGATATGTATATATATATATACACACACAGTACATATATGTGTATATATATATAAAGCATACACAGATATTATCGAAGGAAGTTTAGAAGTCAAACTTCCGACAATATGGACAGATGAAAAGCAGAGCAGGGAAGAGGCAGAGAGAAGAGGAAGATTAGAAGAGAGAAGAGTAGAAAGAGAAAGAGTCAGAAGAAAGAAGATGCAGATGCGCGAAAAGGTAGGAAAGTCGCGAAACACTATGTTTTTCCAATGATTTGTGGCTCCGGAGGGTCGAAAAGTAGGCTCGCTAAAGCGGCGGTGCGGAGCCACCTGGCCAGATGAGTGATGAAAAATTGCACGCCGTTGTGGCGCGAAGCAGATTTCCAAGTCAAAATGTACAAAACACACACCAGCTTCGGACCACTTTTGGAAGTTGAGATGTCGAAAAAGTGCACGGCGTTGTGGCGCGAAGCACATTTGGAAGTAAAAAGTGTTAAAAACTGATGGGTTCGGAGCAGTAAGGAAGTTGAGATGTTGAAAAAGTGCACGCCGTTGTGGCGCGAAGCACATTTGGAAGTCCAAATGTAAAAAACAACACCTCAGTGTCGGACGACTTTTGGAAGTCGAGATGTCAAAAAAAGTGCACGCCGTTGTGGCGCGAAGCACATTTCCAAGTGAAAATGCACAAAACACTACATGTTCGCGCCACTTTTGGAGGTTCAGATGTCGAAAAAATGCACGCCGTTGTGGCGCGAAGCACATTTCCAAGTGAAAATGTACAAAACACTAGGGGTTCGGACCACTTTTGGAGGTTCAGATGTCGCTTCGCAGATTCGCTTCACTGCACTACAGTACGTTACATTACACCACACTCCACTATACTACACTACATTTCACTACACTACACTCCACAACACTACAACTACACAACTAGACTACACTCCACTACACGCCATTACATTAAATTTCACTACGCTACATTCACTACATTGCACTACACTACGCTCCACTACACATCACTACACTACACTACATTAAATTACACTACACTCCACTACACTACATTACACTACACTACGCTCCACTACACTACAACTACAACTACACAACTACACTCCATCCACTACACTCCACTACACTAAATTACACTACACTACACTACATTACACTACACTACACTCCACTACACTACACTACACTCCACTACACTACACTACATTACACTACACTACCTTCCACTACACTTCACTACATTACACTACACTACACTCCACTACACTACAACTGCAACTACAACTATACAACCACAATCCACTACGCGAAATTACATTACACTACACTACATTACACTACACTACACTACATTCCACTACACTCCACTACACTACACTACATTACACTACACTACAATACACTGAATGACACTGCACCACAGATAGACAGGTAGACAGGTTGACAGATAGACAGATAGATAGATAGCTAGATAGATAGATAGATAGACAGGTAGACAGCTAGACAGATAGACAGATGAAAGAGAGAGAGAGAGAGATAGATAGATAGGTAGATAGGTAGATAGGTAGATAGGTAGATAGGTAGATAGGTAGGTAGATAGGTAGATAGGTAATTAGATGAAAGAGAGAAAGAGAGAAGGAGAGAAAGAGAGAGATAGATAGCTAGATAGATAGATAGATACATAGAAGATAGATAGGTAGGTAGATAGGCAGAGAAAGAGAGAGACAGAGAGGAGACCTCAAGCACCTTTCGGTCCATCAGTGAATTCGCTTTGCCATCTCTCATTCACAACAACCAACCTCTCCTATAGGTTTCCTATTTTTGAAACTTCCGGCACCGCCTTGTGCGGTACTACTGGTATATAATTATGTATGTATGTATATATATATATATATTGTGTCTTGCCTAACCTCTGTAACAGTGGCACGAAGTTAGGGCACCATTTGGTGCGCGAAGAAAACCGCAAAAAAAAACACGATTTGGCGCACGAAGAAAACCAGAAAAAAGCACGACTTGGTGCACGAAGAAAACCAGAAAAAAACACGATTTGGTGCACGAAGAAAACGACAAAAAAGCTCGAACTAGAGAACGATTTGGTGTATGAAGCAAAATCATCAAAAAGAAAAGCATGAACTGGGGCAACATTTGGTGCACGAAGACAACCACAAAAAAACACGATTTGGTGCACGAAGAAAACCACAAAAAAGCACGATTTGGTGCACGAAGAAAGCTCAAAAAAAGCACGGTTTGGTGCACGAAGAAAACCAGAAAAAAGCACGATTTGGTGCACGAAGAAAACCACAAAAAAGCACGAATCTGTGCACGAAGAAAACCGTGAAAAAAACGTAATTTTTTGGTCCTCCATTTGAAGCATGTTTAGTAAGAAATTGTTTTAACGACTGTTACAGAGGTTAGGCAAGACACAATATATATATATATAATTATCGAAGGAAGTTTAGAAGTCAAACTTCCGACAATATGGAGAGATGAAAAAGCAGTCAGCAGGGAGAAGAGTCAGAAGAGAAAAGATCAGAAGAAAGAAGATGCAGGTGCGCGAAAAGGTAGGAAAGTCGCGAAACACCGTGTTTTTTCGTGGTTTTGTGGCTCCGGAGGTTTGAAAAGTAGGCTCGCTAAAGCGGGGTGCGGAGACATCTGGGGAGATGAGAGATGAAAAGTTGCACGCCGTTGTGGCCCGAAGCCGATTTCGAAGTGAAAAGGTACAAAACACCTCAGGATCGGACCACTTTTGGAAGTTGAGATGTTGAAAAAGTGCACGGCGTTGTGGCGCGAAGCACATTTGGAAGTAAAATGTGTTAAAAACTCATGGGTTCGGAGCAGTTTTGGAAGTTGAGATGTTGAAAAAGTGCACGGCGTTGCGGCGCGAAGCACATTTGGAAGTAAAAAGTGTTAAAAACTGATGGGTTCGGAGCAGTAAGGAAGTTGAGATGTTGAAAAAGTGCACGGCGTTGTGGCGCGAAGCACATTTGGAAGTAAAAAGTGTTAAAAACTGAGGGTCTCGGAGCAGTAAGGAAGTTGAGATGTTGAAAAAGTGCACGGCGCTGTGGCGCGAAACACATTTGGAAGATTTTGGAAGTAAAAAGTGTTAAAAACTGAGGGTCTCGGAGCACTTTTGGAAGTTGAGATGTCGCAAAAGTGCACGCCGCTGTGGCGCGAAGCACATTTGGAAGTCAAAAGTGTTAGAAACTGGCGGTCTTGGACCACTTTTGGAAGTTGAGATGTCGAAAAAGTGCACGCCGTTGTGGCGCGAAGCACATTTGGAAGTAAAATATGTTAAAAACTGATGGGTTCGGAGCAGTTTTGGAAGTTGAGATGTTGAAAAAGTGCACGGCGTTGTGGCGCGAAGCACATTTGGAAGTAAAACGTGTTAATAACTGAGGGTCTCGGAGCACTTTTGGAAGTTGATATGTTGAAAAAGTGCACGGCGTTGTGGCGCGAAGCACATTTGGAAGTAAAAAGTGTTAAAAACTGATGGGTTCGGACCAGTAAGGAAGTTGAGATGTTGAAAAAGTGCACGGCGTTGTGGCGCGAAGCACATTTGGCAGATTTTGGAATTAAAAAGTGTTAAAAACTGAGGGTCTCGGAGCACTTTTGGAAGTTGAGGTGTTGAAAAAGTGCACGGCGTTGTGGCGCGAAGCATATTTCGAAGTCAAAATGTTAAAAACACCAGGGGTTCGGACCACTTTTGGAGGTTCAGATGTCGCTTCGCTTCACTACACTACACTACACTCCACTACACTACGTTACACTTCACTACAACTACAACTACACAACTACACTCCACTACACTCCACTACACTCCACTACACTAAATTAAATTACACTACACTACTTTACACTACACTCCACTACACTACACTACATTACACTACACTACACTACCTTCCAGTACACTTCACTACATTACACTCCACAACACTACAACTACAACTACACAACTACACTCCACTACACTCCACTACACTCCACTACACTCCACTACACTAAATTACGCTACACTACATTACACTACACTACACTCCACTACATTACATTACACTACGCTACACTACCTTGCACTACACTTCACTACATGACACTACACTACACTCCACTACAAATACAACTACGACTACGCAACTACACTCCACTACACTACACTACATTACACTACATTACACTACACTACACTACATTCCGCTACACTCCACTACACTACACTCCACTACACTACACTACATTACACTGAATGACGCTGCACCACAGATAGACAGGTAGACAGATAGATAGATAGACAGACACATAGACAGATAGACAGATAGACAGATTAAAGAGAGAGAGAGAGAGAGATAGATAGATAGATAGATAGACAGATAGATAGATAGATAGGTAATTAGATGAAAGAGAGAGAGAGAGAGAGACATAGATCGATAGATAGATAGATAGATAGATAGATACATAGAAGATAGGTTGGTAGGTAGGTAGATAGTCAGAGAAAGAGAGAGAAAGAGAGGAGACCTCAAGCACCTTTCGGTCCATCAGTGGCTTCGCTCTGCTTTTTTGATTCACAACAACCAATCTCTCCTATAGGTTTCCTATTTTTGAAACTTCCGCCACCGCCTTGTGCGGTACTACTGGTATAACAATCTATGATGTATACATATTTTTTACATTTATTGGCTAGTATAATTAATCGAAGAAAGTTTAGAAGTCAAACTTCCGACACTATGGGCAGATGAAAAGCAGAGCAGGGCAGAGGCAGAGAGACGAGAAAGATTAGAAGAGAGAAGAGTAGAAAGAGAAAGAGTCAGAAGAAAGAAGATGCAGATGCGCGAAAAGGTAGGAAAGTCGCGAAACACTGTGTTTTTCCAATGATTTGTGGCTCCGGAGGATCCAAAAGTAGGCTCGCTAAAGCGGCGGGTGCGGAGCCAGCTGGCCAGATGAGAGATGAAAAATTGCACGCCGTTGTGGCACGAAGCACATTTCCAAGTCAAAATGTACAAAGCACACCAGGTGCGGACCACTTTTGGCAGTTGAGCTGTCGAAAAAGTGCACGCCGTTGTGGCGCGAAGCACATTTCCAAGTCAAAATGTACAAAACACACCAGGTGCGGACCACTTTTGGCAGTTGAGCTGTCGAAAAAGTGCACACCGTTTTGGCGCGAAGCACATTTCCAAGTCAAAATGTGCAAAGCACACCAGGTGCGGATCACTTTTGGCAGTTGAGCTGTCGAAAAAGTGCACGCCCTTGTGGCGC